AAACCAATTGTTTCAGCAGCTGTCTGAGTCGCTGGTCTCAGACAATCTTGGAGGTGAACCAGTGTGATAAGGAGGTCCTGGGCTGGTGTGGTTACACGTCATCTGCGGTTGTGAGGCCGGTTGGATGTACTGCCATATTCTCTGAAATGCCTTTGGAGACGGCTTCTGCTGGAGAAATGAACATTCAATGCATGAGCAACAGATCTGGTTGACATTCCTGCTGTCAGCATGCCAATTGCACACTCCCTCAATGCTTGTGGCATCTGTGGCATTTTGCTGAGAGACAAAACTGCACATTCCAGGGTGGCCTTTTATTGTGGGCAGTATAAGGCACACCTGTGCACTACTCATGATGTTGGATCAACATCTTGATGTGGCACACCTGTGAGGTGGGATGGATTATCTCAGCAAAGCAGAAGTGCTCACTATCACACATTTAGACTGATTTGTGAACATTGTTTGAGAGAAATGGTGATATTGTGTATCTGGAATGAATTTTAGATCTTTAAGCCCATCTCATGAAAAATCGGAGCAGAAACAAAAGTGTTGCGTTTACCTTTAATATACAATTTATTTTAACTCCCCATGTTCTACTGGGCAAAGAAACGTTGAACCACAATTCTTTTGATCTAAATAATCGAATTTGGTTTTTAAATGAGGTGGAACTATTTTTTCTGCCAGTTCTATTTTAACAAAGAAATGATTAAAACCATTAACTATATCAGTCTTGTCTTTAGTAGTTTCATTATTGTCAGAAGTAATCTGGATACTCTTCTCTTATTTACTTGAACCTTTAATGAGTGTTGAGCAAATTACACGTCCCGTTTACGTTTTTATTTTGTTCAATAAGATCGCTATAATATTTCTTTTTATTACTCCTTAGAATTGTTGTTTATTTATTCTTGTATACCTTGTGTTTACTTTCAGATTCTGTGGATCTGTTCTTGGTGAAGTTTTTATGTAGTACATTTTATCCAAGGCTTGTTTTTTTTTTTATTTGATTTTTTTCATTGGACAGTATTCATTATAAAGTTTTAAGAACCTTTCTAAAAATAGATCACAGGCTTTATCTACATGTTTACTCATAAACTATATTCCAGTATTACTTGGATAATTCTGTTTTAAACGTTTATTAAATCTGACCTACGTGTTCTTTTACTTGTATAATTATTTCCTTTACGTTGGACTCTATTTTTCCAGTTATAAAGAGTAAATATTGGCAAATGATCAGGGATGTCAATATAAAGCAACAGTATATTTGTACATTTATTATATATTACCGTACTTGCATATGTAGTAATTCAACGTGGTAAATCTTGGATACAATCCCATGCTATACAAGCAATTTATAAACTCCTCAGTCATTTGATATGATTTTGAATTAAATAGATTAATATTAAAATCCCCACAGATGAAAATGTTGATTCAATCCAGTCTGTAAATGGTTCAATGGTTGGTGCTGTGGATCTATAGATACGGCTGAAAATAACATTTTCCATATTTTCTATATAATCTATATGTTTAACGACCCATGAGGTGCATCAAGCTGTTCACAAACTAGCTGATAATAAGGCTTGTGGTCTGGATCACTAGTGCAGAACATTTGAAATATGCTAGCCAAAGACTAGCTTCCCCTTTTCCGATCCAATCCAACCCAATCCAATTTTATTTATATAGCACATTTAAAATCAGCATGTCAGCTGACCAAAGCACTGCACAGTTAAACCTAAAAAGCCATTCAAATTCACATACATACACATTAAACACAGATAAAAACTGTCATAAAATAGAAACACCTAAAATCAATCCAAAAGTTTTAAACAGCCAATAAAAAGAGAAGTCAATAAAAACAGAAGTCAGTAAAAACAGAAGAGAGTCACAGCATAAAAGACCGATCATTGACCAAAAGCTAAATTGAAAAAATGTATCTTCAGGCTGGATTTAAACTGTGCCAGTGAAGAAGCCTGGCGTACCACCAGAGGGAGTGCGTTCCAGCGTCTGGGAGCAGCAAAGGCGAACACACGCTCCCCATGAGCTTTATGCTTCATTGTAGGGACTTTGAGCAATAGATGATCAGCAGACCAGGGTGGGGTGGGGACGACTATGTGTTGAATTCGAAATTGCACAGGAATCCAGTGTAGATCAGCCAGAATGGGAGTGATGTGATGCTCTTTGTTTTACAGGGTTTATGATTCATGGCATACTACCAGACTCAATGATGGCAATTCTGCTTGTCCCAGTTATTAAGAACAAATCTGGGAAGGTGATCAGTATGGGTAATTATAGGCCGATTGCACTAGCCAGTGTTTTATCTAAAGTTTTAGAAAGAATCATATTTGACAGAATCACTGTGTACCTCAGTTCCTTGGATAATCAGTTTGGCTTTAAGCCAAAATATGGTACTGACATGTGTATAAACGCACTTAAAGAAATGGTAAACTGGTATTGAAATAGAAATTCTTCTATCCTTATGTGTTTTATTGATGCTTCTAAGGCTTTTGATCGTGTAAACCACAGAAAACTTTTTATTAAGTTAAAGCAACGGGGGGTCCCTGGGTTTATTGTGAGGATCCTGTCTTACTGGTATGCTCATCAGACGATGCAGGTTAAATGGGGTGGCAGCATCTCTGCACCATTTGGTGTTAGTAATGGGGTCAGGCAGGGTGGAATTTTGTCTCCTGTTTTGTTTAATTTGTATGTTGATGATCTGTCACAACATGTCATGATCACAACATGCCCTATAGGTTATAAATTGTAAGTCGCTATGGATAAAAGCGTCTGCTAAATAAATAAACATAAACATCTGTCAATGCAGCTGAGAGCCTGTAACACAGGATGTTTGATGGGTAAAACTCTGATCAACCATCTGATGTATGCTGATGACCTGGTGATCTTCAGTCCAAGTAGTGCTGGTTTACAGCAGCTCCTAAATATCTGTTCTGAACATGGTGTGCAGTATGATATCCAGTATAATGCTCTTAAAAGTGTTATCTTTATATGTAGAACCAAGCAGATAAAAAGCTAAACTTTCCTGTGTTCAAACTGTCTAATAGTGATCTTAGTGTGTGTGAGAATGTGAAATACCTTGGCCACTTTATAACTGATCAAATGCGTGATGATGCTGACATCCATAGACAGTGCTGTAAGCTGTGCACAGGCCAATACTATAGTAAGTAAGTGTAGTTTTTGTTCACCTCAAGTTAAGGTGGCTTTATTTAAAGCATACTGTACTCTGCTTTATACAGCCCAGCTGTGGTCATCCTACAATCAAAGCAGCATGAATAAGCTGCATTTTGCATACAATGATGCCTTAAGAATCATACTCAAAATACCCAGAGGGGACAGTGCCAGTCAGATGTTTGTAACAGAAGGCATTTGCACTTTTAAAGCTCGTTTAAGAAAACTAATGTTCACTTTTAGAGAATGACTGGATAGCTCTGGCAACAGTATAATTTTAGCCATCACTGATCCTGCTGTGAGCAGTTGTTGCTATTTGTCCTGTATAAGGAAACACTGGTTGAATATCTATCTATTTATCTAAATCTATCTATCTGTCTACATCATCAATATACACACATACATTATCAACTGCAGCAGTCATACTCGACAGTTTAGTGAGGTCATTTTTTGTCAACATATATAGAAACACCACTTCCATTTGCTTTTAAAGCAGAATTCATATCCATCAGTGTGGAAGTCTACCTTTCTCTGGTTTTATCCAAGCTTCAGAAATGGTAACGATGCTGAACTGCTCCAGATATCAATCTGGTTAAAGTTGCCATTTAAATTTCTGTGTTAATGTGAATAACTGAAAACATTTGTTTTGAGATTGAGCTCTTCATCTGTATAGTAGTCCCAAAAATGATCACCATTGTGCAGCAAGTTATTTTCTGAATCACTAGCTTGTATTCTGTAGTCGTCCGAGTCTAGACCCGACAAAACACTGGTTTCTGTTGTCTGACATCTTATTTGTGCTCCCATTCCTACTTGGCCTATATTATCATTGTTTTGTTCAAACTTACTGCTGAGTTTAGCAACTATCCACATATCTCCAAATCCTCTAAACACCGTTGCCTCGGCTGGAGCACCATTTGAGTTTCACAGTTGGCTGTCCAAGTTGATGCCTTTTTCTTCTGCTTTCTCAAGAAGCGAGCCTCTTTTGCAAGCTCAGCATTTTCCTTTGTCAAATGTTTCTTTAAGAACACCTCTCAACATTTAGCCTTGCAGGTGTTTTTATGTTTACTATTAGCATGTTTAGCTTGTTTCTTTGTGGAAGGGATGAGATGCCTCAATATAATTTTTGTCCACTGCAGTGCAAGAAAGTTATCACCTGATGTTCCACCGACTCTTCATCCTGTTCATTCTCATCACTTGTTGCTGCAGCTGCTCTAGCATATGATCTCGGCTTGATTTTAAGTCCTGCAACAATGATATCAATAATTCTGCTGTACTGTTCCTAATCATCAACTCTGTTCTTTAACATTTTAATTATTTTGTCCTCCATATTTAAGACCCATCCTCTGCAAACTTCATTATTTTTGTTGACTGATAAGCCGTCACCTGTTCTGTCAGCATTTGCAGTCATTTCTTTAAATCTTCAAAGTCCTCAGCGGTTATTGTGGCCTTCTTCGGTGGCATCTTCCAAATGCTGCAGGTATAGCCAGCCGATGCTTGAGAGCCAGTAGATAGTCTAGCAGTGTGATAAATGCTACAGAATTTATTAAAAGTTCACATTTAAACTGAAACGGTTTGTTGGAAAACAGGACAGAATGGTTTTTAAAGCTCGAAGTTCACACTTTCTACAAAAACCTCAAGATCTGGCTGCAAACCTGCAGGTTTGCTGCTACATGAGATAGCCAATCGTAGGAGTCCTTCCAGCCAATCAGAGGTGGGAAAGGCGGGATCTTCCTTGGACATCCTACATCTCCCATCACCTTGTAGTTTTATTGTTTTATTCAGAATGAGTGAAATCGGGTCAGAATCAGAACCAACAGGTCCGGTTCAGATCACAGAGAAACATTTATTTGGAACATTTTCATCAAATCTGCAAAAACAACTCCATTTCCAACTTCCTGCTGAAACTCTGACATCACTTCCTGTTTACAAACAAAAGATTTAATTTCTAGGATGTTAGTACCCTCCTCTATAACCTCCTCTGTACCCTCCACCATACCCCCCACCTCCTCTATAACCTCCTCCTCCTCCTCCTCCATAACCACTACCTCCCCTGTATCCTCCCCCCCGGTAACCGCCTCCTCTGTATCCTCCTCCTCCTCCATAACCCCCTCCTCCCCTATACCCTCTGTATCCTCCCCTGTTGCCTCCTCCTCCGGCCTGGTATCCTCCGCCCTGGTATCCTCCTCTCCTGTCTCCATCAAAGCGAGCCATCTTCGGAGGTCGAGGACCGTCTCCCATCCTGCAGAGACACTTTTTAGTTTTAGCTGTTTTTCGATGTCTCTGGGAATCGAACCCTCGCCCCTTGGGTACCTCTGGTTTGCAGCCATCAGGTTGATTCCAGCGGCGGACGGTTTGGACACCTGTCTGATGACATTGAGCAGGTTCTGGTTGCTCTGATCCATCTGGCTGATGTATTCTGGGTCTTTGGTCACTTCCACCACCAGAGCCTCCAGCCCGGCCCGCAGCACCGCCACACCGCCCGCTACCTCGTGGGGAATCTTCAGTTTGATCCTGCAGAGGACAAAAAGAAAAGCTGATTCTGGGAGAAAGGTTCTTAGCTCCGGTTTGATGGAACATGAAGTCAGACGTTCTCCCACAATCTCCACTGGTCTGATAGCCCTCTCACCAGTCGTCCAGCTCCACCATTTCCCCGCTGGAGTTGATCTTCTTGCAGGCGAACAGCAACAACTGCAGCGGACTCACCAGAGTCATCCCTTTAGCCGAGATGGCTCTGGTTCGGATCTGAAACATGCAACAAAAACACGACCTTCAAGAATCGTCAAGAACATCATGGACGAGCTGAACAGCTGCTGGTGGAGCTGAGAGGTTCCACCTTCTCACTGAAGACAAAGAACGGGGATGGATATTTGATGTCCTGGCTGCTGAAGGGACAGTTGACGGAGGACTTGTGGATGAGAGCGTTGCGCCCCTCGGTGGTCAGGATCTTCCTCTTCTCCTTGTGGTAGCAGACGTTGGGGTAGGAGCCGAAGGTCAGCAGGGACACCACCACGTCCAGGTTGTTGTCCGGTCCCACCGTGTTGAACATCTGGTTCATCAAACAGTCTGTAGAGAACAAACGACACAGAAGGTCACTCCGCCCACGTCCTGTTAAACCCAGAGCCTGCGGTGCATTCAGGTACCTTCAGGGAATCCAGAGTTCACCAGGATGTCCTTCAGCTGGACTTTGGCCTCCCAGGTCATCCTCAGGGTGGACATGTTGAGACGTTTGTGTTCACAGAAGCGATTTTCAGCCTCTTCTCCGTTAACTCTAACGGAGAGAAGATAGAAGTGCGAGTTGGTTCACAGACCACAAATAAAAAGTTAACGTCTGAAACAACTCAAGATATTTCTGCTTTATTTATCCATCCATCCATTTTCATCCGCTTATCCGGAGTCGGGTCGCGGGGGCAGCAGCCTAAGTCGAGAGGCCCAGACTTCCCTCTCCCCAGCCACTTGGGCCAGCTCCTCTGGGGGAATCCCAAGGCGTTCCCTGGCCAGGTGAGAGACATAATCCCTCCACCGTGTCCTGGGTCTACCTTTAGGTCTCCTCCCGGTTGGACGTGCCTGGAACGCCTCACCAGGGAGGCGTCCAGGAGGCATTCTGACCAGACGCCCGAGCCACCTCAACTGGTTCCTCTCGATGTGGAGGAGCAGCGGGTCTACTCCGAGCCCCTCCCGGATGACCGAGCTTCTCACCCTATTTCTAAGGAGAGCCCAGCCACCCGATGGAGATAATTTAATCTGCTTGTGTCCGCAATCTCGATCTTTCGGTCACTACCCAAAGCTCATGACCATAGGTGAGGGTAGGAACGTAGATCGACCGGTAAATCGAGAGCCTCGCCTTCTGACTCAGCTCTCTCTTCACCACGACAGACCGGTACAACGCCCACATCACTGCAGATGCAGCACCAATCTGCCTATCGATCTCACGCTCCAGTTTTCCCTCACTCGTGAACAAGACCCAGAGATACTTAAACTCCTCCACTTGGGGCAGGACCTCATCCCTGACCCAGAGAAGGCATTCTACCCTTTTCCGAATCAAGACCAGATTATATATTTATTTATATAAAAACAAAACATGAAGCCACCAAAAGACTGATGAGGGATCAGGTGAAGATCCAGAAGGTAATTAAAACCTTTGAGGCTCACTCACCTCACGTCGTCCCAGGCCTGGAAGACCGACAGCAGCGCCACGTGATCCGAGAAGCGGTTCCCCGAAAAGTTCCTGTGGACGAATCCGAGGCGTCTCCCATCGCTGATGAACGGCTCCGGAAAACAGGAGGCGGCTGAGATGGTGCACATGGCATCTCCAACACTGAGGGGAGAAACACGTCAGTCACCCCATATCAGAGGCAACAAGTCAGGAGAACCAGAGAGGAACCCACTAAAAGATGCAGCCCATGATCATCATCTTCCCCAGCCGAGGTTCGATGGGCAGCCGAGCCAGAATCCGACCCAAAGGAGTCAGCTCATCGTTGGAGTCCAGAGCGTCCAGCTCTGCAACACAAAGGTTAAATCAGCTCAAACCACCGAAGCATCCCACAGATTACCACCAGGTGTTCCAGTAATGCCTCCGTTAGAAAGCCCCTCCCACCTCTGGTCCGGGTACCCCTAGTGTAGCACACGGTGGACGGTTTCATACACACGAGTCGCACTAATAAGCACCAACATGGAGCCCAGCTCGGGTCCCAATATGAGAGGAACCCGATGTGCAGCTCCCGTCCAACGAGGGCAGCTTTAACTGGTTCGATCAGGGGACTTTCTGGTCTCCAGTCACTCTGCTGGTCACCTGCTGCCTGATGAGGGGATTGCTCCTGGAAGGAACAGGTGAGCTGCTGCAACAAGCTTCCGTTTCAACAGAAACACACGACATGTGATGTCACATGCTCAAGATCCCGCCCCCAGCTTCTGGTAAAGTACAGTCAAGTGTTTTTTTCTACACGATTCCCTTTCCTTCACAAGGAAACTCAGATTTCACAGATATGACAACATGAGTTCAAGGGAGTCTTTCCAACATCAGAACATCCTTTTCTTTAACACCAAATATCACAAGCTGTTTCAACTAAACAATCAACGCCATGGCGGCGTCAGGGAGCCTTAGGTCGTTTTTAGGTGGTCAGACCGTGGCAGTACTGTGGCGGCATAACGGTGGTATAGGGCAGTCTCTGCGCTGCCACGGACTTCCGTTAGTTTTTACTGCAATTGAAGCCACGATGGTTACGTATTTTTTAACAAGCCGCTCCTAACTGTGTCCGTCCTCCACAGCCCCGGTGTGGTCTCTGGTGATCTGAGCTCCAGCTCTAACGGAGAGAAGCTCTTGGATGGCTGCAGCCTTCACTCTGCTGTCTCAGCTGTTTTTGTTCAAAACGCAAAACTTGCAGTCGGAGTTTACTTTCATTTTCTATCGAGTTGCTGGCCGGAGCTCGGCATTAACTCCCTACGTCATCATGACGCCTCCCTCTGTCGCGCCGTCTATTAGGCAGACAATTACCGCATTATTACCAAGCGGGCCGAACGAATGCCGCTAAATTTGTGCAACGCCATGCCGGTAAGGTGTGTTTGTAAGACACAGAGACACTGAGAGGCGCCGAGCAGGGCTGGGCATACTAGTTGCCCCCCATCTTGGTGCCTGTGCGTTGGGGTTTACCCCAGTGAATGAGAGGGTAGCCTCCCTCCGCTTACGTGTGGGGGGATGGGTGTGCTTTTGCACCAAACTACAGTTCAGACTACACACTCTTTTTGGAGACCCTGGAGGGGGTGCCGGAGAGCGCTCCTTCTGGTGACTCCCTCGTTCTGCTGGGGGACTTTAACGCTCACGTGGGCAACAACAGTGAGACCTGGAGAGGTGTGGTTGGGAGGAACGGCCATGATCTGAATTTGAGTGGTGTTTTGTTATTGGACTTCTGTGCCAGTCATGGATTGTCCATAATGAACACCACGTTCACACATAAAGGTGTCCATATGTGCTCTTGACACCAGGATACCTCAGGCCGAAGCCCGATGATCGACTTTGTTGTTGTTTCATCTGACCTGCGGCCGCCTGTCTTGGACACTCAGGTGAAGAGATGGGCGGAGCTGTCAACTGACCCCTACCTGGTGGTGAGTTGGCTTCGATGGTGGGGGAGGATGCCCATCAGACCAGTCACAGGACCGACCGTGGAACACTGGACCAGCTCTATACCCTTAGGGGGATCCTGGAGGGTGCGTGGGAATTTGCCCAACCAGTCTACATGTGTTTTGTGGATTTGGAGAAGGCGTTTGACTGCGTCCCTCGGAGGGGCCCTGTGGGGGCTACGCCGGGAGTATGGGGTACCAGGCCCTCTGTTATGGGCTGTTAGGTCCCTGTATGACCGGTGTCAGAGCTTGGTCCGCATTGCCGGCAGTAAGTCGGGCTCGTTACCAGTGAAAGTTAGACTCCGCCAAGGCTGCCCTTTGTCACCGGTTCAGTTCATAACTTTAATGGACAGAATTTCGAGGCGCAGCCAAGGAGTGGAGAAGATCTGTTTTGGTGGCCTGAGGATCAGGTCTCTGCTTTTTGCAGATGATGTGGTCCTGTTGGCTTCATCAGAACGTGATCTTCAGCTTTCGCTGGAGCAGTTCGCAGCCGAGTGTGAAGCAGCTGGGATGAGAATTAGCTCCTCTAAATCTGAGGCCATGGTCTTGATTCGGAAATGGGTAGAATGCCTTCTGCGGGTCAGGGATGAGGTCCTGCCCCAATTGGAGGAGTTTAAGTATCTCAGGGTCTTCTTCACGAGTGAGGGAAAACTGGAGCTTGAGATCGATAGGTGGATTGGTGCTGCATCTGCAGTGATGCGGGCGTTGTACCGGTCTGTCGTGGTGAAGAGAGAGCTGAGTCAGAAGGCGAAGCTCTCGATTTCAGGGTAGATCTACGTTTCTATCCTCACCTATGGTCATGAGCTTTGGGTAGTGACCGAAAGAATGAGATCACGAATACAAGCGGGTGAAATGAGTTTTCCCCGAAGAGTGGCTGGACTCTCCCTTAGAGATAGGGTGAGAAGCACCGTAATCCGGGAGGGGCTCGGAGTAGACCCGCTGCTCCTCCACATCGAGAGGAACCAGTTGAGGTGGCTCGGGCATCTGGTCAGGATGCCTCCCTGATGAGGTTTTCCGGTCACGTCCAACTGGGAGGAGGCCTAAAGGAAGACCCAGGACATGTTGGAGTGAACATGTCTCATCTGGCCAGGGAACGCCTTGGGATTTCCCCGGAGGAGCTGGTCCAAGTGGCTGGGGAGAGAGAAGTCTGGACCTCTCAACTTAGGCTACTGCCTCCGCGACCCGACTCCAGATAAGCAGATGAAAATGGATGGATGGAGGTGATGACCTAAAGCAGGTGGGTGTGACCCCCGGGTCTAAACCCACACAGCTTCACGTTATTATAAACACCAACAACAAATAAATATCTGCAGCGTGGTTCGACTTCGTTCCGTTTGTTGTTTTGTGCGTTCTGCACGCTCATGCATTCAACAGCGAGCTCCGCCTGCTGATTGGTTCTTAGGTAACTGACATCAGTCCAGTTTTGGTGCTGAGCTGCATGGACGCTCCAATGGATGTCGGTGTTCAGAAGGGAGGACGGGTTAACTTTGTTAACTCACTTATATCATAATCACATGACCATGTAAAGATGCCCCGCCCCAGTGGATGGATACCCTAACCCCCGACCGTTTGTCATTTAATGCTTATTGGTCACCGTGATGGGCTATAATAATAATAATAATAGTAACAACAACAATTGGCAGTGCCTTTTAAAGACACTTTAGATACATAAGGTTCTGTGTGGGAGGGTGTTGGGTAGCTGGTCCAGAAAGCCCCTCCCACCTCTGAGCGTGTATTCTGCCTCAATGACGGCATCCAGCGGTGGTGGTTCAATGGCCTTGGACAGGAAGTGTCCGATGGCGCCGAGTCTCAGCAACTTGATGCTCAGAGCGACTTCGTGCAGCGGGGTCCTGAAGATCTCAGGAGTCATGTGGGTCTCCAGCCTGCACCGACACAAACACACGTTTAACCCAGCAGCTCTGGGTCAGCTGGCTTCTGAACGAGTTGGGTCAGCGGGTCGTACTTATCGAATCGAGCCCGGCTGCACAGGTGGAAGCAGAACCCGGGCCGGACCCTGCCGGCTCGGCCCTTCCTCTGCTCCAGGTTGGTCTTAGAGGCCCAGACGGTGGCGTAGTTGGTCATGTTGTTGTGGGAAGTGAAGAGCTTCACCTTCTGTCTGTGGGGTGAACACAACGTGACCTTTGACCTTCTGAAACCAACCCAGAACCCACAGGGACACTTACTTGCAAGAGTCGATGACGTAGACGACATCGTTGATGGTGATGCTGGTTTCTGCGATGTTGGTGGACAGAATCACCTGAAACATCAGACAGGTGTTGAAACTGCTGGTCTCAGAACCGTCCGACTAAGAAAAACCTTTTTCCATCACAGACCTTCGTCATGTGGTCTGGAACCGGTTCAAACACCCTTCTCTGCTCCTCTCTGGGAATCTGAGAGTGCAGCGGCAGGATCCGGTACCGGTTACTTCCTGAAACAAGATGGAGAACATTAAAAGAAGACGTTCCTTCAGGTCTGATGGATGTTCTAAGATAGTTGAAGGTTCCAGGTACCAAAGTGTGGGTTGGACTCCAGGTGTCTCTGCATGGAGTAGATAAGGTTCCAGCCCGGTAGGAAGACCAGAACGGCGCCGGCTACCTTCAGCGTCTCTATGTACTTCAGCAGAGCCTCCACCAGCTCAAAGGACGTCTCCTTCTCGTTGATCTGAGCCATGGAGCGCTTCGTCTCCACGGTGTAGTCCGACCCACAGATTAGGTTACAGTTGGTCTGCAGAGACAAGCTCAGGCTGAGATCTGAGAACACTCCAGAACCAAACCATCATGTCCCTGGTGTGCCCACACTAGGACTGCAACAACAAAGCGATAAAATTTGTTGTGTTGCACAACCTTCATTTACCAGTCCATGCGCCCAGCTCACGTGTAGGAGGCCACAGAGCAGAGCGAGGCAGATCAGAGCGAGAAAGGCCGGTGTTTTGATGAGGAACGACACACTTAGAACAGTAAATTACTGACGCACCACGAGCTGATGGAGGTGGTGTGGAGGAAAACAGCAACCAGCAAAGACACAAAGGGTTTGGGATCTAAAGCGTAACTACTGGCAGATTAGCTCATGCTAGCGGGTAGCAGGCTCACGACCAAGTGGGGTTCCCAACAAACACGATGCTCGTGAAACTAAGAACATCTAAACTCTACAAGCGGATGAAAAGTCCTCACCATCCTGTTTATTCTAAGCTGGCTGCAGGGCTACGGAGCAGAACTGCTGTCAGGTTCAAGTCTGCTCACTTAAACACTGCTGCAGGATTACGGCAAGCCACTGTAGCATAATTCATAAACGTGCCTATCTGTGAATATCATTTAAACTGGATTATTGCCAAACCGTACATAATAGATATGTCACCATTACATGTTTAGCAGTAGAAATTAAATGTTATGAGCATTTCCAGTAGCTGCTACAGAACATGTTAATGAAATGCATTAAATTTTACTGATCATAGTTTAATTATGGATGTATTTAGATGAGAGGGTGTTGTTTTGCACGATATTGAACTGTTTGATAATCATGTTCGTTGTTAAATAAAGTAAAGGAAGGAATGAAAATGGTTTCCCTAGCAGCTTTTAAATGTTCCCGTTTAATCTGATTCATCGATTATCCAAATAATCGTTTGTTGCAGCCCCAGCCCCCACAGAATCAAAAACCCTTACATCGTCATCTCCTCCCTCCTCGTCTTTGTCCTTCTTCTTTCTGTCCATCGGTGGAGGAACAAAGTTGGTCATCTGGATACAATCCTCCAGGAAGTACTCTGAGACAAAAACAAAACTATTATTTCCATCATGTTGGTTCTGCTGGACTATGTTCAGGTCATGCTCCAGCAGGAGAAACTGGGCGAGTACCCTGAACGGGGAAGGTGCGCCCGAACACCTCGATGACGGGGCAGTTGAAGAAATATTCCCTGAACATGGAGGTGTCGATGGTGGCGGACATGAGAACGACGCGGACCTCTGGGAAAGCTTGGACCACATCTCTGAGAACCACCATCAGGAAGTCCGTCTGAAGCACAGAAACAGCTGAAAATCTCAGACGTGACTTTTTCATCTGAAAACCTTCTGAAGGGTGAGCTCACATTGATGTCTCTCTCATGGATCTCATCCACGATGACGTGACTGATTCCTCGGATTCCCGCTTCAAGCTTCCTCAGCAGAACACCTGAAACACAGTCTGGGAATTAATCCCACAACCTCCATTGAGGCTGGTCCAAAGTGCAGCGGGGAGACTTCCTACCGACGGTGCAGAAGAGGATGCTGGCATGAGGTCGGGGCAGCATCGACTCAAAACGAACGCTGTAACCGCAGCTTTTCGCAAGATCCTCTCCTCTCTCGTAGGCGACTCGTTCGGCCACAGACACGGCGCTGATCCGCCGGGGCTGCAGGGGACCAGGATCTCATTAAACAATCAGCTAATAGACAAACAACAGGTAAACAATCAGCTGATAGAAAAACAACAGGTAAACAAACAGCTGATTGTCTATCAGCTGATAAACAAACAGCTGGCAAACAAACAACAGGTAAACAGCTGGTAAACAAACAGCTGGCAAACAAACAGCTGGCAAACAAACAGCTGGCAAACAAACAGCTGATAGACAAACAAAAGGCAAACAAACAGCTGATAGACAAACAACAGGTAAACAAACAGCTGATTGTCTATCAGCTGGTAAACAAACAGCTGGCAAACAAACAACAGGTAAACAAACAGCTGATAGACAAACAAAAGGTAAACAAACAGCTGATAAACAAACAAAAGGTAAACAAACAGCTGATAGACAAACAAAAGGTAAACAAACAGCTGATAGACAAACAACAGGTAAACAAACAGCTGATAGACAAACAACAGGTAAACAAACAGCTGATAGACAAACAAAAGGTAAACAAACAGCTGATAGACAAACAAAAGGTAAACAAACAGCTGATAGACAAACAACAGGTAAACAAACAGCTGATAGACAAACAACAGGTAAACAAACAGCTGATAGACAAACAAAAGGTAAACAAACAGCTGATAAACAAACAAAAGGTAAACAAACAGCTGATAGACAAACAACAGGTAAACAAACAGCTGATAGACAAACAAACAGGTAAACAAACAGCTGATCAACAAAATGTCAGTGTAGGAGGAAAAGTTATTTCCTGCAATTTTAGAGATCAGATGTTTTGATTTGGTTTAATTTTCAACAAAGCAAAATGACCAGAAGATGATTACTGTAATGACTTCATCAATGACATCATCATCAACTACAAATTAGCTGATTGAAGCTTTAAAAAACACAAATTCTAATCATCAATCCTCAGATTCCAGGTAGTCACCTCTGCATCTCCCAGGCCATCTTAAGAGCGTTACCATGGTAACCACAAGGTTGAAGCCCTAAATAGAGAATTACCATGGTGACCGTGTTGTCACAGGTCATCACTGAGCATTACCTGGGTAACCACGATGTTGCAGTCTGACGCTCGGCCCCCCTTGATGAAGCTGTCCAGGATGTACTGAGGGACCTGTGTGGTTTTTCCGCAACCAGTCGCTCCTCTGATGATCACTACAGGGTTGTGGTCGATGGCTGCCATGATCTCCTCCTCAAAGCTTTTGACGGGCAGCTGCTCACGCTCTGACAGGATCTGAACATAAAGGGAGTTGTTTGGTAAACACCTTCCTCTAACAGTTGACTCCACTCAAGGAAGAAACAGACCTTCTGTAGGTTCTCGTCATTTTCCAGCTGGAACATCAGCTCTTGGTGAAGATCCCCACTGATCTGCTCAGGGGTGCACTGGTGGGTTAGATCACATTAGAATCACACAGTGATCAGGTGACTGCTACAGGTCAGAGGACAAAGCCAGCATCAGTCCAGAGTAAAGCCTCACATAGGCCAGCGGTCCCTCGTCGATATTGCTGCTGGTCCATGGGTTCCAGTTGACCTGAGGTGGAGACCAGGGGACGACACCGGCGGCGCTCTGGCGCTGAGAGGGCTCAAACATGGCCATCTTGCCCTGGATCAGAGACACGGGGCAGCTGGGATCCGAGGGCTAGGGAACAACAAACAGGATGGGGGGGTAATGATTTAATGTACGTCTATTTAATGAACCATAAGATGTGAAATTCTATAGGAAATATGAAATCAATCTAATGGACCTTTGGATAACTTAAACCAGAAGATTGGAACTTTTTATTGCAGGGATTATGTAACACTTCGTATTAACTGAGAGACAAGAGAAGAGAGAGTCACCTTTAAAAAGTTTAAGAAGATTTATTTCTACACAATTTTAAAGAATTTTAAACAAGACTAACTCTAAACTCTAAGTGATGAATGGATCTTGGTGTGAATGAGACGTGAGATGGATGGTGTATGTGTGAGTGATGTTGTAATCAGAACTCTCGTATCCGGAGAAGCAAGTCTGAGTGGGAAGTGATGTTTTGCTCTTAAGCCATCGTTGTTTCATAAACACATAAGACGCCATATTGTCGCTCCACACATACCCTTCAGGATGAGACCTCCGTACAGATCCAGAATGCCAGGTTCTCGGGACCCCCCCCCCCCCCGTACCGGAGCCGATGAAACAGCGTCAGCGATACGACAGACTAGTCTTTGGATTGTCTCCAGGTAAAAAGCGATAGTTGGTTGACAGCGTCAGATGGACCCTGAGGGTCAGTGAGTTCAGCTTTTATTCTGGAAGGAACCGTTGCCTGGTTTGTAAAGTGCAACAGATTTTATCCAGCTTGTCGATTCTTTGCTTATAAAGGAAGTCCGGGTGGCCGGTCCGATACTTCTCTTAGAATGTGGTGAACTGAACTAAGATGGCGTGGGGACTGGTTTTATTAATCTGGGTGTTTTGATTTACGGTCGAATCAGAGTTTGACGGATTTATAAACACCACAAAGAGCATGCCACGCTTCAGAAAGGAAGGATCCGATTGGATGAGAAAGATAAAATGTCATGTGACTTTAAGCATTATGTGGATCAGGATGTCTAGTGCAGCTAGATTAAAGTCTTATTACTTATTAATATTAAAATACCACTGATCCTAAACATTGTCATTTCACAGATTGGTTCACATTTTATTATTGGACTAACACTTTGTTTGATTAGCTTTATTAAAAATAGAGTTCTTTGATTTATTAAAAAGAAAGAGTTTATCTTCTTTCTTCTGTTGAGCTGGAAAGGAAACAGTTTTAGAAGCAAATGCATGTCCTTGAGGCAGTCTCATGCAGATTAGTTCTTACCGAGGAGAGAGGGTAAATAACCTGCGGTGGAATAGCTCCTTCATCACATTACAGGGGTTATTATTTATTTGGGTGGTAGGAATGGGCCATATGGTGTAAGATCCGCATCACGATGTTTTATTTTCTTCTGTTTACAAGTTTATGTCTGAAAGGCTGTTTTACATTCTCACAGACCCGACAGAGACAGAAGGGCACAAACTCCAGCGTTAGTAATGAGAAACAGCTACGGATAAAAACTTGTTTAAACCTCCCACTGTCTTTATGGGTGACCCCGCGAGGAAAGTTGACCATTGAGCAGGATTGATGCTTTATCCATTGAGGTCCACGTGGCAGGGGTGAGGTGGTGCTCACTCCTCACCCCTGCTACATGGAGCCAAGGGATAAACCATCAACCCTGCTCAATGGTCAACTTTCCTCGTGGGGTCACACCCATTAGGACAGTGGGAGGTTTAAACCAAATCACAGGAGATGTACGAGAGTTTGAAAGTTTATCGTGTGTTAAAAAAACAAACAGCATTTAAGGAATTAGCATTAACAAGGTGTTAACGGAGAAACGGCTCAACTGTCACCAGAATCATTTACAGAGGATGTTCTCCTTAGTGCTGCAGCAGCCTCTAGTCCACAAACACGAGATTATGGCCTGCTGATAAAATTATGAAAATAAAACAACAAAATTGTAAAAGGATCAACCATTTGTATTAAATTGGTGTCGTCTAGTTCCCTCTTTCTCAGCTGATAGTTACAGTTAATAAATATTTTATGGAGCATTTGATTTATATATCACTATAATTAAGTTTAATACAGGCTTGATATCACTCATCTTACTCCAAACATCTAAATATGTTCACATACGATCAGAAGAATTATTATTTAGCATGTTCAGCAGTGAGCTGCTGGAAATGATAACATTTAATATGAGTAACAATGTACCTCCACAGCACCTAGATCACCACATTGTGTGTCAGTAAAATGTGTTCAGACTGCGGTGCGTACATTTAACGACGCTTCAAATCAGTGAAAAACAAATTTAATGAATTGAACCATTCGATGATTCGAATCAGTCCCAATGTGAACTATATATCACTGTGCATTACTTTGAGTGTTAATTAGGCATAACACATCCCAGCACTTTTTTTTTTTTTTTTTTTACCAGGGCACAGGAATGGTCATCATCTGTGTAATGAAATATAGGTTTCCACATTCCCCCTGTAATGCGCTGATGGACCACTAGGGGTATGCATACCCCCAGTTGGGAATCACTGCAGTCGGACATGACCTTAGGCTGGATGGGAGAAAAGAGCAGACTTGGATCAAAGACTCACCGGAGCAGGAATCTGGACTTCAAGGTCCTGGACGACAGCGGCCAGCTGCTGCTGGAGCTCCGGAGACACATTGACCTCATACACGGCCAGCTGGAGACAAAACACACGCAGCTAAACTCACAGAATTCCTCAGACCTTCTAGATTCTGGCTTATTTCAGGCATGTCAGAAACACAGACTGTACATATATAATAGAAAACCCTCCGTGCCTTCACCCGTACGTTTCTGAGGAGCTGATCTAAAGCCCAGTGGGCGGTTCTTACCAACGCCACCTTGGCTGCATCTCGTCACTCCCGGAAAAATACAAAAATGGAGCTGAGGGTGGGTGCAGATGAATGACACCCATCAAACTGAGCAAATGTAGCAATGAGCTAACTGAGCTAACCAAATCTAACAGAGGTTGGGGTGTTTTTAGCCAGAAAACCATGTTGAGCGACTCTGAGGCCTTCCCTGGAGCAAACAGGAAGCTAGCTGTTAGCTCATCTGCTACCTGTCAATCAAAAGAACATGCCCCTAACCATCCATGATTTCAAGCTTTAATTACATCTAAACAGAAGTGTGTGTGTGTGTGTGTCGTACAGTTTCTCCCTCCTTCTTCTTGGTGACCCCGGCATAGGCCTCAACAACTCCCAGGTGGAACAGCTGTCGGACCACGGACAGAGCACATGACTGAGCTGCAAGCTTCTTGTTGGAGCCATGTTCTCGAGCTGTGATCTCTGAAGGACACACACACGCATCAGAACATGGACCAGATGTCCATTTCTGTCCTGAACAAAAATTCCTTAGTGGTTTTCTCTGGATTACGCTGGGCTAAAACTAGCCGCTAAAGACTAGGGCATGTTTCCATGGTAACCACTAGGTGTCAGAATTCCTACAGACTGGTTCTGAAAGTTTAGAGCAGGAGTTCTCAGTCCTGGAGGCTTAGTATCCATCATGTGTTGTTGTTTGTCTTCTTCAACATGCCCGTTTGAGTGGCTGAGTCAACTGTTCAGCATCTCATCAGGCTCTGCAGAAGCCTGTTAATCACCTGTTGATTGTAAAGTAGGTGTTTTGAAGCAGGGAAACAACTAAAACATGCTGGACCAGAATTGTGGCGTTCTCGTATAGAGAATCAACAACGCAAGTAAATATCTCAAACCAGACCAGAGATAATCCAGGACCAGGGCCGTCTCCTGAACTTAATGTATTTGATGATAAAAGGTGCTAAAACAACTGAGATGCTGTAATTCTACTTCCGTAACCATGGAAACGGCTGAAGTATCAATCACGTGCGCTGATCTGAGATCAGGTTCTACGTTATCAAATGTGTCTTACTTCTGCCGAGCTGCCTGACAAACAACTGCATCTCCGCGATGAAGCTCCTGCAACACAAACATCACAGCTTCACTTCCGGTGCTTTTCAAAGTAAAAGCCTCTAACAGTGGTGCTAAACCAAACTCACCTGCGGCATTCTCAGGAGGAAGCCTGTGTGTTTTCCTGCCAGACTTTGGGAATATTAGACACCAGTCAGCAGCATCTCCTGGCTGTCTGCAGCCCTACGGTGACACCAGAAATCACAACCAGACTCCAGCTGCACCCATGGGACAGATTTAGAACACCTAAACGCTGTCCCATGTCTTTTTCAGGACGGTTCTGAGTTCTGGTGTCATCTCACTATTCTAGCCACACCGGTCCTGAGTCCTAATCCACCTGAGTCACCAGAAAACAACCCAAACAGCTGGATATTGTTTTTCAGTTACCGTTCCTGATGCCGACATGTGGTAGACACGGTCTGAGGATGGCTGACATCCAGACAGTTACCAACTTCTTTTCATGCTTAAGTGTCACTAATAATGTCACAAAATTTCTGAAACTTAATCAGTTTTAAACACAAAATTTAAATAACTGTTAAATCTTGACAACGCGTGTCCTGACTCGTGTTCCGACCCGTTTGCCTCCTCTGGTGTTCTGGACCAAACAGTGAGAGCTCTCTGGTGTAACCAACACACTCTGGAGGTCTCTGGGTTTGCAGCAGTCCAGCAGAAAAACACACAGGAACGTCCTGAAACCCGACTGGAGTCCAGAACCAGCGGGTGCCACCAGCCTTAACGGGGGGCAGCTAAAACCGCCACAAGTCCGAGTCCACCTGGTGAACCTGAGACCGCTAAGACCCCAAATAAAAACATGAAACAGGGAAAAAAGCCGGATTTGAAACTGGTCCACATGTATTTTACTGTTGAATCGTATTTTAACTCATTCACTGCCAGCGTTTTTACAGTTTTTTTAAGTCACAGAACATTGCGCGCTAGGACGATGTCGACGCCAAAACAACCAAAACAAAGCAGAGACTCACCTCTTACATCAGGATGAATCCGCGCGTTTCGAGTGTTATCCGTTCTTTCATAATCTGTTGTTGAATTGTGATCGGCAGAAGCTTTTCTGGTTCTAGGGTTGGGCATCGAGCATAGATTGGAACCGGTTCCAGCTGTTCATTTTCCCCAGAATCGCTCAACGTTTTTTATTTCGATTCCTAGTTTCAATTCCTAGAATGCCGACGGAAGAGGAATCCGCGGCCGATCTCCGTGAAAAATTAACGGGATCTGCAAATTGCGATCAACGCTTTTCAAAGCTGATCACACCAGCTGTCTGTGTGCAGCACCGAGTCGACACCCCCCACATGGACGTAATTTTCACTTTAGACGTGGGGGGGTATCTTTACAGTATGCTCTAATGGGAAACAGGCTTCAACACAAACGGTTGGTTTTCCGCTTGGTCCTAGAGCTCAACCAGTGTCCCTTTAATATAGCGTAATACTGTTTTTGGATGGTAAAAAGTGCAGGGGTCAACACCTGACTTTGGAAAAAGTGGGGGGGGGGGAACATGTCCCCCCTGTCCCCCCCAAAATTACGTCCATGACCCCCCAGATATGAACAAACGTGTCTGCCGGACTTTTACTCCGTAATGTAAACTTTAACTCCTGCAGCGTAGAGGAAACTTGTTAAATACGTCTACACGGTGGATTTAATAGAAGCTTTAAAAAACAAACTCTGGACGGTGTGAGGTGAGTTTGTCTCACTGCAGAAATAAAAACACACGGAGCGTCAGAGGGCTGAACAATAACCTGTAGAAATTAAAGTCATCATGCTAGAGAAGCTTATCTGTTGTGGAACACACCAGCTTCTGCCACAATAAATAATAATAATAATAAATCACACACAAAGGTGTGAACATTTTAATTTCCTTGCTGAACTATTTCTGTTGAGAGTTTTAATGTTTAAAATCTGTTAGATTGTTACTGACAGCAGCTACGTTTAAGTTTCACTTTCTGTTCTGACTGAATGCTGCTGCAGCATGGAGGTGTAGTTCTCAGTCATCCTGGACATGATCGTCCTGAGAGTTTTAGCTGAAAACAGCTGGACGTTTCTGATATGTTGGAGACATTTAGCCTCTCATCCCAGAGGCTTCTTCCAGACTTTGGTTGTGGTCAGAAACAAACACACTGGTTGTGCTGCAAGTCTCTTTCTTTTTTTCTCCAAAACATGTTTTTGTCTAAATGAAGGTGATGCTGTTGTTCATAGAATTAAAATTCATATTGAAGTTAAGATTATTTCATCAAGTTAGACCTGCGGTTAGCTGGCTCATGTAAAACATGTCATGTCTTCAAAGAATTGGAATCGGAATCGTTCAAAATCAAACGATGCCCAACCCTATGAATCGCGCCTCACCTTTTTTTACAGCAGCGGCACAAAACGATCTCCTAACACGTGGATTTCTGCTTCCTGGTCATGTGACGTGTGACGTATGCGGATGAAGATCGGCTTTAGAGCTGAGATGTTTGTTCTCAAGGGTGCGGGGGCTCGTTCCGACGCCCACACAGTAAAAAATGCAAACGAAGACATTAGTCATCATTGGCAGTGAATGAGTTAAACAGAATAAAGGACAGAGACCAGCTGTGTGTGTGTGTGTTCTGATCCAGACCTGTTGTGGTCCGGTCCCACTTGGCTGTACTTATACTCAGCACTGGTTTTCTCCTTCTGGAAGAACTGGTTCAGACGGGCTTTGGCGTTCTCCAGGGTCCAGTTACCGTGGAGATTGGCATTCAGATCCACCTCCTCCGACTCCAGAGTCTGGGAACAACAAGGCAGCCGTTTATTCTCTGATGTTTAGTTTGACATCCAGAACAAATGAGGACAGCATTCGCGTACCGCCTGTGCCTCCTGTTCCTCCTTCTTTGCATAGTACTCCATCAGGTTGGCTCCTCGCTCCCACTGAGCTCCTCCTTCTCTTCCAAAGTTTCCCCCTCCTGAGTAACCCTGACCCATAACATTTGGCACCGGCCCACTGGCACCTCCTTCACCTGGAAAACAGGCAGAAGAGGAGCTGAGTTTGAACTCACCAGGAGGTCTGAGGGAGCAGTCCAACATCCGGTTTTACCTTGTTCCTGTTTTACAACAAGATGAGGAGGCAGAGGGCCGCTGGGAGGAAGGTTTCCAACACCTCCTCCCCCATTCCCATCAGGCTGATCACCTTCAAGAGCTCCAACCTGGAGGACAAACAGAACTGGTGTCAGAGACCTGGAGACCAGCACGTGGACACCAGGTCACAAATAGACCTGTATAAACGACCGGCAAACAGGTAAAAACCAGATTCATGCTAGCCCCAACCATGATTCATTTTCACAATTAAACAAAATAATGAAAAAGAAAAATTGTTTTATCAAATTAATCAGCTGTGAAGTTATTCTGTGAATTTCACTAGATGTAAACAATAATAATGCTCGGTAACCCTAACCCTAAATCCAGGGTTTCCCCCAGGAAACCTGATAAGTCTGGCGGGCCATGAGGGGGGAGGGGGTGCACTCGGATCACTCCGCTACCAATTCTCGTCCTTGGGGTGGGGTGGGGGGTGTACTTGTCTTAATAGGTTTATGTGGACAAATTTTACCTTTACTGAGTGGACATTTTTACACTGACACCTGGCTGGTCCACACAACGCTAAGCACCCTAAAACCTGGTTTTAGAGCTTTGGTGTGAATTAGCTTTTAGTTTAGGGTTAGGATTAGAACCCCACTGGTTATGGTTATGGTTAGGCATAGTGGAGTCACCAAGCCTGGCGGGTGACCAAGCAGGCTTATAAAGCACCGGTGGAAACCCGGAAATCTAACTCATAGAACAGGAAACCAATCCAGGGGCTTCATTTATCAAGCTTGCTTACGCACAAAACGGGGTCGGAAAACTGCGTAAGCATCTTTCCACGCAAACTTTGAGATTTATGGAAGAAAACTTAGCGGAAAAATGTGCACAACTTTAAGTTGACTAAGGACCTGGCTTACGCACATTTTGGACATGGAGAGCACCTGCAGTGCTGCTGCTGAGAAGGATACAGTTATGAAATCCTGCAGCATGATCACTTGTACTGCTTCATTTTCACACAGAACAAGACCCCCCACATGCACACACATGTGCGTACACACACATGTGTGCACACTCACACACACACAGCCTGAAGCGCAGAATACGGAATGCAGAATATCAGCAGGGGGACAGATTGAGACAGAATGTCATGCGTCTGTGACAGTGTGCGTGTCCTGTCACTGTGACCCAATTGATCATGCACTCTGGCTACTTGTACAGGGAAGATCTCCGTTTGGCTGACTGGTTAGCGCGAGTGACTTTCACCCGGGAGTCTGGGGATCGAATCCCATTTGGACCATTTTTTTTATATCCGCCACAGATCTCCCAGAAGAACTCACAACATTGACAGCTTCAGCAACGCTGTGCCACTCCGTGGATTTTCTCTTATTTGTTTTGCAAAAGCACTTCCTTTCATTTCTCCACCTCACCCACAAATACCTCAATTTCTGCTTCTGTGAAATTGCGCTTCCTTGATCTGCCTTGATCTACAGTCGCCATCGTCATTGGCTGAGCGCTGCAACAAGCCGGCTTATGTATATGCATGAGATCCACAAGGCACTTTGCATTGAATATTTATGGCAGTAAGTGGGCGTGGTGAGGGCGGGATGTGACTAAAATGCAGCTGAGAAACATTCTAGTTAGTCTCCGATTTATGAAGCGGAGATTGCGTGCAGCTGTACGTACTCCATGTTTGATAGATCACAAACCTACTTGGTGTAAGTACTTTTTTTTTTGCTGAGCTTGAGTACGGTTTTAGTAAGGATTCTACGCAATGTTTGATAAATGAGACCCCAGATCATTAGCAGATCTTCCGGAGCAGAAAGGGGACCTAAGGACCAGGATGGGAAACTAGGGATGCACCAAAATGAAAATTCCAAAACACCAAAAGAAATGATCATGCCAGTAATAAGAACAATAGTACTTATGGCTATGACGCGTACTAACCTCACTAAAACCATGGCATTGCAATAAATTAAGTACAAAACCAAGAAAATATTAATGGAGCACCGACAACAACAATGAATATAAATTAAAACTCAAAATAAAATGTTTCACTTGACCACACTAAGGTGTACATTAAATAATAAATGATTACGAGGAAATAATTGTAAACCTCTCCTTCCTTATACAGTTAGAGGACTTTCTGGAGAGGTTGTGATTGATGAGCTATGAAGACAGCACTATAGTTCCCTCTTTTACTGCTTAAATAATGACCCGTATGTGGTGGACCCTATGAAGAACACGATGCTGTGCAGAAATTACCTAACAGTAAAGCATGTGGCATGGATTCAGTCACAGCAGAGCTGCTGAAATATGCTATCCTTATGAGCAATCTGTTTTACTGAACTTATGTCTCACGGCATACTTCCTGATACAATGATGACCACATTGCTTATTCCAGTTATTAAGGAAAAGGCGGGAAAGTTTGGTTGCCTAGACAACTATAGACCCATTGCATTCACTAGTATTTATGGAAAGAATCCTCTTCGATAGAGTATTTATTTTCCTCTGATAATCAGTTTGGTTTTAAGTGCGGACATGTGTCCATGCTCTTAAGGAAATAGTGAATCTATATAGATAAAAACTTCTACTATTCTCATGAGTTTTATTGATGTCTCCAAAGCGTTTGATCGAGTGAATCATGAAAATTTGAATGATGAATTTTTACCAAACTAAAGCAAAAGGGTGTGCCTGGAGGTGTTGTGAGAGTGCTTGCCTATTGGTATGCCCACCAGAAGATGCATGTTAAATGTGGTGGGAGTATTTCTGATCTCTTTAGTGTGTCCAATGCATCGACATATTAATACTGGACAATTCATTTCCATAGGCTCCAATAACAGGTTTTTGAGGCCAAATGGGAGGTGGCCACCAACGCCATTTATACCGTGTCACAGGTTCCGTCAAGCCCAGATAACTCCACAAAAGGGAAGAGAGGTGGAGCTGAGGGTGGGGCTGTAAGGCTGGGATCAACTGACGACACCTGGTTTAACTAGCTACAAGCTAACCTGAAGCTAACCCAAAGCTAACGCGAAGGTGGGAGCTAAGCTAACGGAGGTAGCAACCTAGCTACAACTGGAGTTAACTGTGCACAACACCAGAGCTTCTGAGTCAGAGATACGCCAGGCTGACCGCTGGGTAAAACCGGGTGGAACACAGAGGTCTCCAGACCTCCACAAGCCGGCAGCCGCACAGCAGACAAGCGCCGCTGCGATCTGAGATGCGCAGAGCTGCCGCTGTGGAGAACTGGGTGGAAAGGTTTCCATCCCAGAGCTCCACAAGCCGGCAGCCCGCGCAGCAGACAAGCCGCGATCAGACAGCTGAGCTGCCGCTGGGGAGAACGGGTGGAAAACATCGGTCTCCCGAGAGCTCCACAAGCCGATAGTCGGAACCCAGCTCCACCAACATGTTATATTTCAACCCATTTTCTAAAGTGCAGCATTATGTTAAATGCACTGGGTTTTACCCTATTACATTTAAATTTCATGGTTTAACAGTACATGTTAAAATCTAAGCTCAGCTCGGCAGTGACCTAAAATACATAAATATAATTTTACTTATAGAAAAAAATGAAGTGGAGACTCCTTGGATGCTCTATTAGTGCAGTTAATGCCACAGCAAGTCATTTTGTCCAACAATTGCACAAAAAATATCCAAAAAAGAATACACAAACACAGAGACTCAAAATCCCGGAGCAGTTTCCAAGCCAGGCCGAGGCTCTACTGAGGCCTTTCCACGGAGCTAGCTCTGTGGTCACGTGGGTCTGATGCTCATTAATTATACAGAATTTTAGGCTTTTAATACACCTAAACAGAAGAGTGAGAAAAAAAATTCACCCCCCTCAGAGTTGTCATGAGTGTAAACTAGATAATTTAAACCAAAAACATGTTTTGGTACCAGGCTGTAAACATGTTTATTTCTGCTGTGAAATTGGTATTTTTAACATGGGAGTCAATGAGGATTTGCTCGCTTCTGACACCAGCCCCCAGCGGATGAGGGTGGAACTGCAATTTTTGGTACTTCCGCGTTGGACTCAAGTTTTGAGCCGCATTGTGGGGGCTTGGTCCAATGGGGTAAGGCAGGGTGGAAATGTATCTCCAGTTTTGTTCAACGTATATGTTGATGAGTCATCTGGGCGTCTTGAGAGCTTGTAACACGGGCTGTTTGATAGGTGATGTTCGGATTAATCACCTTATGTATGCGGATGACCTTGTAGTTTTTGCCCAAGTAGTGCAGGAATGCAGCAGCTCCTAGATGTTAGTACTGGGTATGGAATGGACTATGATTTAAAATATAACTCGAGCAAAAGTGCTGTTCTAATCTCCAGAACCATCCAGGATAAAAAGCGTAAGTTTCCTGTGTTCAATTTGTCCGGCAACAGTCTTACGGTCTGTGAGAAGATAAAATATCTTGGACACTTTATCACAGCCAATATGAGTGACGATGATGATATTTACAGGCAAGCTATATGTGCAAGCAAACACCACTGCAGGGAAATGTAGCAGTTGTTCCACACCTGTTAAAGTGGCATTATTTAAAGCATACTGCACACCACTATATACTGCACATCTGTGGTCATTCTATAAAAGTCTAGCTTGCACAGGCTACAAGTGGCCTACAACGATGCAATGAGAATCCTCTTCAAAATTCCCAGGGGAGGCAGTGCTAGTTAAACGTTAGTTTCTGAGTGTGCACATTTAAGGCGCTTCTAAGAAATTTAATATTCAAGTTTATGAGACAGCTGAATCTTCCAATAGTATTATAGTTGCATTCACATCCCACTGTGAGCTGCTCTCGTTAGTTGTCTAGGCTGAGAAAGCACTGGTTAAAATGTTGGGGTAGATTTATCTCAACTAGTTAGTTTTGTTGTCCCTTACTCCCGCTGCAGTTATATCCTGTGTTTTATATAGGATCTTATTAGTATTCATGTTAATTGGTATCTTTTTTTTTCTCCCTGTGTTTATCTTGTATGTTATTTTTTTATCATTATGTTATTTTCTTTTAAAATGGACTTCAAGTCTGGCAATAAACTGATATATTACAAATTATAAATGTACAGACTTAAAACTGACAGGCATGCTGAGAAAGACCGTATAATTAACCCTTTAGGTGCCAAAGTCGAAATATTGTGTTTAACGAGCCACAGCTGCAAATATAATCCCTCATGAAGTTCTTACTTTACACCAAAAGACAGTGTAGTGTAACTTCAAGCTGAGTAACACTTTCTGGTGTTTCTGTTAAAGTGTTCGGAGTACATAGAGTTAACTGTTGACAAAGTTGTCTGGTAATGGCCGACTGATTCTGAAGAGTAATATTCACCCTCGGATAAAGACAATCACTCGTTCTCAGTGAGGAAGAAAGAGACACTGCAGCTGCACAGCAGCAACAGTGTCTGTGTGCTTCATGAGTGTAAACACGACTCACACACACGATCCAAAGCTTATTTCACTGTTCAGGACATATTTGGGTGCAGAAAGGAACATCGCTAATAGTGACAGATATAGGGGAATGTCAAAGAGCAAAAAAAAAGTCAGGCAGACGCGGTAGATGTGAAAACAGTTAAAGTGTGTTGCATATATAATCGATATGATAATTTCAGTGATCGGAATAAAACAGCATTACTAAAAAGAAGAAAACTTTACTATCCTTTTGAAATCAGTACGAATGTATGATTTTTATGAAGCAAAGAGCAAGTTGCCACATGAGGGCGGAGGTCTGTCTCGGCTAAAAAACAGAAAAAGCACCTTCGGGTCATTTTCAGCCAAATGTTTTGGTGGCCAACATTTTTGGTGCATCCCTCTGGGAAACCCTAAGCCTACATCACCAGTGTGAATGTTTGTAAACACAAAAACCATTCAGAGTAAAAACTAAACAGAACTGACCCCAAGAGCAGGAACCTCAGCTGCACTCATTTGTCCAATTCGGACCAGATAATTGACAAAATCCCGGGCTGCGTTGGTCTGAGCATCCTTCTTGTTGGTGGAGTTCCCCATCCCTGTGTAGTTGAAGCCATCAACACGAACCTGCAGGCACAGAGTGTTTATGGTCAGAACCATAAAGAGGGAGAGGGACGGCATCCTCAGGTGAACCAGGTGGAGGACTCACCTCACACTTAAACTTCTGCCTGATTTTGTTTCCTGCAGCTTGAATATCGTAGCTTGGAGTCAGTTTCTTCTTCCCACACCAGGCATAGAGGAAGTTCTTGATGTCCGCCATGGTGGACTGACAGGAAGGGGACTTTCCTCCTCTGTGGACTCTCTGGTCTTAAGAATTACATAAACATTTTAAAGTACAGATGCATCCTCACTAATACATAAAACATCTGCCTCAGCTGGACAAGACGAGCGAGCAGATCAGAATAAATGTGATTAACGGTGGCAGCTTAAACGATAAAATGATCTTTGTTGAGGAAAAAAAATTCCGAGCAGGAGAATTAGAACCAAACTGCCTTTAGGGGATTAATGAACATCACGTCCACTGGAGTTTAGCCTGAAACTCTGTGTCCGCTGTTTCCATGGACATCTTTACTTCTATGGTGGTTCTGGATCGTATTCATTCATCCATTGTCTGAACCCGCTTTGTCCACGTAGGATCGCGGGGGTCTGGTGCCCATCTCCAGCGGTCAATGGGCAATCAGGCGGGGCATCTGGATCTTATAATGAAACTCAAACACTTGTTTTGAATCGGACTGTTTTTTCTCGTGCCTTTTAATTAGCTACCGTTAGCAAACATGCCGGAAGGGTTTGATGTAAAATGCAAGCTTTAATTATTGCTATTTACTTATAATAAAGATAACAGCGTGTTACAACGTATATTTATGTCGATGGTTACAACGAGCTACATTCCGTCAAGAGTACAAACTGAGGTAACGTTTTCAGCTTTAACGTGAGTGAACCGATGAGATTAGCGCCTAGCATTAGCTTCTAGCCAACTGTAGACACACCGTTTACGTTTTCACCGACATACCTTCTAACCCAAGTAAGAAACGCAACGAGAATAAAGACAGTTAATATTCAAATTGTTTTTTACTCACATTCGACCAAAACAACCCAAGCAAACGCAAATGCCGGATGAATGGTCTGTGTGACGTTGATATGTGTCCCCTCCAAAATGGCTTTGGTTTAGATTATATACATTTCAATGGTTCCACTACTTATTTAGTGTGGTTCCTTTCCACGTATCCCTGGCTAAAATGTAAAAGAACACACATGAAACAACAAAGCCTCCTGATATATATACTTCATTAAATATCGAGGCTTGTTTTATGCATGGACATGAATACGACATAATACATGGGCGAACAGACCTCAACGTAGCACTCATTTCCGGTGTGTTCCCGAGCAGATCCTGTACCGCCACTGCCACTGGTTGTTCACGAAGAAGCTTCGGGCGATACTTAGGCATAAACGACTAAACGACTGATTAAAAAATGATTACAACAAGGTGGCACAGTTGAGTTAAACTGCAGGGTGGTGTTATTACTTTTCCAACCTTTAGATGTTTTCAATTAAATTAATGAAGGATGAGCCACAGCGCCACGCCACCCGTAGCTTGTCAGATCATACCCATCATACTAAGTTGCACTAAAAAGAACTCAACATATTTTTATGGATTAGAAAAGTCTAGACAATCCAAAAAGAAAATATGCAAATTAAAAAAAATGACACTGTAATAGTAGACCAAAATCAAATAAAGGAGAAAGTTCAACGTTTTTACTCAGACCTATATTGTTCTAATTTCTGTGAGGAGGAATGTAAATCCTTCTTCACTCAGATAAAGAACAATATTAAATCTATTGGAGAGGAAGACAGGAAAAATCTGGAGGATGATTTGAATATTAACGAAGTAGAAAATTACCTGGAAAAAAAAAGAAAAATGGGAAATCGCCCGGTATTGATGGATTGACCTCAGAATTTCTTAATTTTTTTTGGGAAGATGTTCAAGAATTGTTATTAAGTACATTTAATGAGTGTATAAATGAAGGATGTCTTACCCCAACAATGAAAACTGGAATAATAACCCTTCTTCCCAAACCAAAAAAAGATACAACAGACTTAGACAACTGGAGGCCAATTACTCTATTGTGCAATGATTATAAATTATTAGCACTATTAGAAAGACTGAAAACGGTAATTGATAAAATAGTAGATAATAATCAGTCTGCGTTTATAAAAGGAAGAAGCATACATAATAATGTGAGATTAGTACTGGATATACTGGATTATTGGTCTATTTTGGAAACGGACAGCCTCATTTTATTTATAGACTATTTCAAAGCTTTTGATTCTATAGAACATAATTTTTTATTTTCCACCCTAGAATATTTCGGTTTTAGAAAAAAAATTTGTTCAGTGATAAAAATGTTCTATACTGATATTAACAGTTATGTTTCCTTAAACCCAGGACTAACAAAAATAATAAATATAACTTGTGGAATAAGACAAGGATGTCCAATCAGCCCCAAACTGTTTATCTTATGTACACAACTATTAGCATATCTAGTAATAAATCATCCAAATTTTCAGGGTATACATTTTTTGATTTTGAATTTTGTTTAAGTCAGTTTGCAGATGACACTGTTTTTTTTTCTCTAAAGGATAAATCTATGGTTAACAAAGAATTACAAATTATTTCATTTTTTTCCAAAGCATCAGGTCTTCGTCTGAACACAAAAAATGTGAGTTACTTTCACTGTATGAATGCACAGATAATGAGATAATGTCAATTCCTGTTAAAAAAGAAATAAAATATCTAGGAGTTAAGATAGTTGCAGACAAAAAACAAAGAGAAGAAATCAATATGAAAGAAAAAAACTGATCAAATACAAAAAACTCTGAACCAATGGCTTAGCAGAGATCTTTTTATTTTTGGGCGAAATTTATTGTCCAAGTCTGAGGGTATTTCCCAACTGATATATCCATGTCAATCCCTTTATATTGCTCCAAAAACAGTGAAAAATATTAATGCTATTATATACAAATTTATATGGAGAAATAAAACCTATTATATAAAAAAATCCCAGTTAGTCAAAGAACATAAAAATGGAGGTATGAAATCTGTGGATTTTGAAGCAATGCTGGGAACATTTAAAACAAAGTGGCTGAAAGAGTTTCTAATAAAGACAGATACAATTTGGTTTCATATTCCAAAAAATATCTTCAAGAAGTTTGGGGGGCTAAACTTTTTTTTGAAATGTGACTTTGAAATCACTAAATTGCCTTTTAAATGATCTGAATTTCACAAACAAGTATTGCATTATTGGAAGATGGTATTTACCCATAATTTTACTCCTCATTGTGCCACCTTGTTGAATAATCGAGTAATTATTTCAAACAGAAAGTCTTTGTTTAACCAACAGTGGTATTATCACGGAATTATCTTTGGACACGATGTTATGGATAAAGATGGTGAAATATTACAGCTACAGAATTTTAAATACAAATTTAATAACATTCAATGTTCTATTCAGGAATATGAGAAAGTATGTAAGGCTATACCAGTGACTTTGATACAAACAATAAAAAACACAATTCTCTTCTCTAATGTTCAAATAAAACTTCCTAATTTATTAATAGGAGAAATGAACATCACAGAAAGAAAATGTGAAAATAATTTTTTAAATGGAGCCTTTAAAAATATATCTATCATGATTATGATAGAAAGATTAAAATCAAAAATACTAGGAAATCCAATAATTGAAGAAAAACAATTAAAATTTATAAAATGGCCTATAATGCCCAAAGTAAAAGAAATGCAATTTAAAATTCTTAACAACTACTATCCGTCAGCAGAGACACTGAGGTTTTGAAGTTGACCCTTGTGAATTATGTCAGGAAAGCCCTGAAGGAACAGAACACTTATTTTTCAGCTGTCCTGTCAGTAAGAGGTTTTGGGAAGAAGTCCATTGTTGGTTAAAAAATAAAATAAGAGAACTTGATCGTTTTACAAATGAAGATATTCTTATTTACAATTCTAAATTAAAGGGGAATAATTCATTGTTAATTAACATTATTATTATTATTATGGGTAAATACCACATCCACAAAAGCAAATGGAAAAACAACTGCCAAACATGAACTGTTTCATAAATGAATTCCGTATGTTTTCATCCACTTTGACTCGTATAAAAATTTCAAATGAAACTGTAAAAGCCATTTGTCATGCTGCAGATAAATGTTTAATCTTGTAACAATGTTTTTTACTTTGTGATATTACCATACCATACCATACCACTTTATTTATATAGCGCTTTCAACACAGCATTACAACCATACAAAGCGCTGCACAAAAAACAAGCAAGAAAACACAAGTAGTCAGGTAGATGGAAAATGTAAAAAGGAGCAAAGAGATAAAACAACAGACTATTAACAGTAAAAGCAAATAAAACCAATAAATATTAAGTGACTCTTTTTAAGTTTCTTATTTGTTTTTCTTTTATTGTTACTAAAGATGCCTTGTGTGTTTCCATTATGTGTTGCTGTCTCACAAGAAATTGTAATAAGCATTTAATGATAATTAAAAAAAAATACTAACTTGCACTGCCATCTTGTGCTACATTAAAGCAGCTCAACACACACTGGGGAAACCCGCTTCTGTTGCCTTTAGTGTTACTCAACCATAATAATAAAATTGTCCAAAAAGATTAAACATAATTGAGAAAAATTACGTTTGAAGGATGTTCCACAAAAATTAAAGGTAAACATATCCAGACGATAATTTACATCTAACAAAAACGAAATTATGTTCCCAGGATGTTTCTCAATCTACAAACATTGTAAACAGATTCATTGAATTCTGTTGATAAATTTGTAGTGTCAGTGTACCCCCTGCTGGGTACACCAAGAAGTACATGTGTTTAGAGTCATGGGGGCCTCTTCATCCATTAGGGGTCAGTGTAGTTGCAATGTAGTTATCCCGGTAGAAATGGTATCCCTATCAGTAGAATTTGTTTCACCTGCGTCGGGGGCGTATGCAGGTGTTTTGTTTATATCTGTCCCCTCCTCGAGATCTTTTTCGCCTCCACCATAGCATAGCAGTGATTGTTTTCCTTACGTGTGTCAGTGTGTCTAGTGAACTAGATTAAGTCCTATTATTTATTCAAATATATTAATCATAATATTGTGATTTCACAGATCGGTCGTATTGTATTATTGACTAACAGTTGTTTTGATTAGCTTTATTGAAAATAGAGTTCTTTGATTTAATAAAAGAAAAGAGTCTCTTCATCTTCTGTCTTCAATTTAGATGCAAAGGTGGCCAAAGCTCGGTCTCCCCGGCTCTTTAGTTTAGTACGTGGAACAACCAGTAGTAAGTACATTTCATTTATAAAGCACTTATCACGGACGTAGAATCACAAATTGCTTCACATAATCAAAACAAAATAAAGCATAAAGTCATATAATCATATTGATCTCAAAACATAAAATTATAAAATTTCATAAACAGATGAAAGATAATTCCAAATTTGAGTTAAAAAATAAGAAAATAAAAGATTTAGGTAAAAGCAGCTTTAAATAAAAGGGTCTTTAGCTGTTTTTTTAAAGGTTTCCAGACAGTCAATGCTACGTAAGAATAAAGGAAGATCATTCCAAAGTCGGAGTGCAACAGTCTGGAAGGAGCGAACACCTCGACTTTTGTATCTGGTCTTTGGACCTTCTAGAAGGTTCTGGTGGGTGGACCTGAGGGCTCGGGTTGGAGCAAAAGGCTTTAACAGTTCAGTAATACAGGGAGGAGCTTGATCATGTAGAGCCCTGAAAGTTCTAGTCAGGATTCTTTAATGAACTCAAAAGTTAATGGAAACCAGTGGAGAGACATTAGAATAGGAGTGATGTGTGCTCTTCTGTTTGCTCAGAACATATGGGTAGAATCTGACATGATCTGGTTTATACAGACACCGTAACTTCTGTTAGAAAGGTATGATCTAAACCAGTCTAGAGCAGTTCCCGAGATCTCCACCGAGTCACCAAGTCTGTTAATGAAGGTGCTGTGATAAACAGTGCCAGAAGCTGCAGAAAGATCTAACAATACTAACACTGTGAACTCCCCGTTGTCTGCAGCCATCGTGATGTCACTGGAAACTTTAAGCAAAGCTGTTTCTGTTGAACGCTTTTTACCAAAACCAGACTGGAATTTATCTAAGCTGTTGTGTAGTTCCAGAAAAGGAATCAGCTGATCTGCCACAACCTTTTCCAGTATTTTAGAGATAAAGGGTCGTTTAGAAATGAGTCTGTGGTTTTTAGGCTGAGATGAGTCCAGACTATGTTGGACCCTAACTCCACACATTCATGATGAGGAGAACATGCCAACTCTAGCTGCAGGCTATGATTCACTTCCCTCCAGCTAAATTTACATTTTTATCTAAATCATGAATTTTCACAATTTTCTATGCACCATGAATGATTTATATAATTTTTAAATTACAAGGGCAACCTGCTGGCTTCATTATCACTTGTAAGTTGCTTTGGACAAAAGCCAAATATGTAAACATAAACCTTTTTATTCTGATTTAGTTTTTCCACTTCAAAAGAAAATTAACTCATCTGATTATCAGTGTGCGTACAGGCGTGTGTGTGAGTGTGTGTGTGTGTGTGCGTGCACGTGCTCAGGTGTGTCATTGGCACATCAACAGTAAACAACAGACTGGGTGTGGTGTGTGTATGAGCAGGCGCTGACAGGGTTAGAAAGAAAGAGAGAGAGAGAGAGAGAGAGAGAGAGAGAGAGAGAGAGAGAGAGAGAGAGAGAGAGAGAGAGAGAGAGAGAGTGTGTGTGTGTGAGTAAGAGTGTGTCTGAAGTTCGGGGTGTGTCTGTCGGTATTTATACCTGCGGGAGACGGCTTTCTACACAAACACGCCTGCAGGTGAAGAATTACCTTGATCACCATAAAATAGGCATGTCTAAAGTGTGGCCCAGGGGCCGTTTGTGGCCCTCAGAGTGATTTTGTGAACATTTTATCAGGTTTTATTATTCCTGATGTTTTTTTTTTGTTTGTCTTTTCTCTGACATTGTTTTGTTTATTTCTTCAGGTTGTGAGATTTTTATGTTTGTTATTTTGTTTTTAGTCTCTTGCTGACGTGCTATTTTTCATCCCTTTGAGGTTATTGCAGTCATTTCCTCTGAGTCTTTGTGTTTTTTTTGTGAATCACACGTGAGTCAGGGAAGATAGAATGTGCAGCGTGCACGGACCTGCAGCAGCACGAGAAGGCAGTTTAAAACCGCCGCTGGGAGACGGAGACTGACTTCAGGATTCAAACAACATGGAGATGAACTGGACTTCAGTCTGCGGGCTTCTGGCTGCGGTTTGCTTGGTCCAGGTGGTGCACAGCTTCTACTGTAAGTGTCTCAGCTTCTCTCTTCTTCTGGGGATTGACTCTCCCGGTTCCTCTGCTCATCAGGAGCCTCCTTTGGGAACAGCATGAACTCACAAAACGGCTTTTATTAACGTAAATTCACTGCTTTTCATATTATATTTATATGTATATATTTTTATAATAGATATTTTTAAACAGTTTCCACAAAAAAACTTAACTGAGTGCAAAAAGTGATCCCCTCACTTAAACCCACAGATGGTGTTATATGTATTATATTTACAGTACAAACACTTTTACAGTGTTAATCCAGCTGGATTATCTGGGATTAGCTGGTAAATCCGCCTAAAATAAACGTGAAACAGTTAAAAAAACTGGCACTTAGAAATAGAATGAAGATGCTCTAATAACTTTTAGAAGTTCCTGTTCGACCTTTGACCCTGAGCGGTCTCCATTACTAGCTGACCCGTTGGACAAACCGGATCGGATTAGACTGCTCAGATGGATCCTCCTCAGACGAGGGGCTGTTAGGTCACCTGGAGAGACTCAGAAACAGCTGACCCTCACCTGTAGAGGTGATGAGAGGAGCCATGGTAGGGGTTCGAGCACTGAGCCTTGGAGTACCTCTAAGGTGGGTGAAGAGAAAGTGGAAGAAGAACCAGCTTCATGTTTTGTTAATAGACGTTGCAGTGGCTCCTTAGCTGAGGATCAAGCTGCATGCTAAGATGAGTGTCTGATGAGCCTTCGTCTGATCTGGTTCCCTCCGTTTCACGTTGTTAAACGTTTTAAACTTCTTTATTAATAAAGAGAGTGCTCTCAGGTCATCTCCCTCTTGTCCTGTTGGTGGTCCTGCTGTTTTTGACCAGTTGGAACCTGTTCCCATCACACAGGTTTATGAAATAGTCAGAAAATTGAAGCCTTCTTTTTGCCCAAATGACAGGTTCCCTCCTGGGCTGCTGAAGGAGGTCTTTCGTGCTGTAGGTCCAAATATTGTTAACCCGGTTAACACCTCTCTCTCTCTGTGGGCCGTGTCCCAGCTGCAGTTAAACATGCTGTGGTCCAACCTCTACTTAAAAAGAGCAACTTGTCAACCTTTAGGCCCATTTCTAACTTGCCTTTTCTTTCGAAGTTTTGGAGAAGATGGTTTACCTCCAACTGCAGCATCTTCTCTAGATTCATGGAATTACTGAAAATTTTCAGTCTGGTTTTAAAATGGCACATAGCTCTGAGACAATTATCTGCCTTTAACTGCAGACCCAGGAGACTCTGCTGTTTTAATTAGGTTGGACATGGCTGCTGCATTTGACACTGTGGACCATAAGACTTCATTATCATGGCCGGATCAGTCTGTTTGTATCAAGGGCATGGCTCTGACCTGGTTCCACTCCTATCTCTCTGACAGAAGTCATTCTATATGAATGGAAGGTTCTCCTCGTCTGAGGCCCCCTTGAGCTGTGGGGTTCCTCAGGGCTCCATCTTGGGACTTTTCTACCTCTATATGATTCCCCTGGGGTTGATCCTTCGGAAGCATGTCCTGTCCTTCCACCACTTTGCAGATGATCTGCAAATTTCCCTCCCATTGGGATCGACTGGCAGCAAGTCAGTACAATATCTGGTCAACTGACACCAGAGCTTGGATGGAATAGAATGTTTTACACTTGAATAAAACAAGACTGAGCCAATAGTTATTGGGAAAACTGACCTGCTCTTGGAATGCAGCAGTTCTATATGTCTTTTAGGTTGCCAGGAATCTGGGGATGCAAGTTAGCGCAGCGGGCCAGTCAAGTTTTTATCATTTGAGGTTAACAAGTGTAGCGGAAATCCACATTTTATATCCTCAGGTTAACTTTGTATAGGTTTACACGGAAAAAAACAATAACATTGTCACACAAAGGGTTCTTTCACATTCAACAGAAGGAAATAAAAAGGGGAATTTGAAACTGGCCCGCAGTTGGGCATTCTGGTTAACTCCTACATTTTTCTCCCAGAAACGTAAATTTTACCAAGTAACTTGTTAAGCCGGACATTATCAGGACTTGGTCTGTCTTACCTCAACCTGCCAATAACTGACTCTTCCCCCCAGGCCGGGTGCTTGTAAAACTTCGTAAGGGTCATTCTGGAAGATTCCAGGATCTCGCTTTTATCAAAACCCTGGTATTTTTCTGTTTATCTATAATCAAAGAAGGTGTTCAGGTTGTTCACCCTTAAAATAGAAATCAAGGTACTCTAAGTTAAAATCTTATCAGCCACGGACCTAAACTGTTTGTTTTGGGTTTTCGTTTATGTTAAACCTCTGTCATTTGGTGTTTCTCCAGTTAAAATTCATGCTAATGGTAAAACTGTTCAGTTTTAAGACATGAATGTTATTCTTTCCTGTTGAAAGTAATACTTTGATGCTAAAGTAATACTTTTTGAAGCTTTATATGAATAACTGTGTTAAATTGTGATCATGGATTTTCATCTTGGAGAAGGTAGAGTTTATTTGGAAGAGCCACAGTGCCTTCCAGTGGTTTTTGAGTAAGGTACAGGTGGGCGTGCCCAAAAGGTTATATAAGCACCCATCCGGACCTCATGGCGGTAGTTTTAAGAACAAAGGACGCCTTAAGCTCATTCCCTGCTGGCTGTTTTCCATCTGGCCCAGCAGAACCCGGCGCTTTAAAGTAATTAGCTCTCAAAAGTTACAGTAAAAACTTAGAAGCAACTCCGTTGTTTTGTTTCGACTTCCTACGTGAAACTGGAAGTCTGCGTTTTCGTCAAGTTTTCATATTAAGAGTAAGAACAATTTGGAACAGTTTGATGATTCGGCTCCGTTTTCAATAATTTTTGCCCGCGATCTGAATTCCACGTTTCGAGGCCGCTGAAGTGAAGGAACCTAAAGTCCAGCCACACCCGGGGAACGAGATTCTCCCAGACATCGTAGACCTAAGCTGAGGTGCCAAAAAGTCCTATGGCCCCTGAAGGCCGCATTCAAGCTTCTGGACCGGCTGAGTTCCAGCCCATAGGACACCTCTTTGGCGACAGAGAAAAGGTCTGTGAATCATTTCTATCTGGCTGACTTTTCCTGCTAAGCCCGATTAGTGGATTCAGACTTAAACTTTTATGGCTTGTTATTTTCGATCCAAATTCTCATTTATCTCTCAAGATTTATCTTCATTCTCTGCTGCACACGAATCCTTATTCACACACACCCACCACACTCCTGTATTCCTATACCCATAGGAACACACACACACACACACACACACACACACACACACACACACACACACACACGCTCACTTGTTCTCCTTACAGAAGTTATTCCTAATATTTACTATAATCCTATGTGTCACCAAAGTTCCACTTTTATTACAGACTAGTTATGTCATAGCACTGCCATAAAGCCTTGTGTTTATCCACTTATTCTCATGCATGAAACAATAAGCTGTGTTTGGTTCTCTTTGTCAAGTGTCACAAATGATGTTTGTAATAAATTCACAAAACTTAAATCATGCCTGATTATTGCCTAGCGATCTCGAGAATAGCCAGCGCATTCTGACAAGAACTCAGCTTTCAGATTAAAATGTGGTGTTAACTTTGAGAAGATATAAATATTAAATCCAGTGTCCCAGTTCACACAGACAAAACTGGGTGGTGCCCCAATTATTTAATATAAGATCATAAACAAGCTAAACCTACGCCACATTTGAAATATAGATATAAATCTATATGTATCGCTACACAAGCAAAGTCAAGTCATACTTGCCGTTTGAAAGCCTTGAAATAGTGATTCACGCTTTAACAACCTCCAGGCTGGACTGCTGTAATTCTCTCTGCGTTGGGTTAGAGGCCTCTCTTGTGCAGCGCCTACAGCTAGCGCAGAATGCTGCTGCCCGTCTGCTCACAGGTAACGACGTGACCGTATCACCTTTATCCTGTCCTCCCTGCACGGGCTGCCTGTGTGTTTTAGGATTGATTAAGATTTTAATCTTGGTGTTTAAATGTCTTAATGGCCTGTCACCCTCATATCTATCAGAGCTTCTACACAAGCACGTTCCCAGGAGAGCTTTTAGGTCTGAATCTGAACCATCTCCCTTTGATTGTTAGGATGGCAGCTACAATGGATGATTTTAAGTCTCTTTTAAAGACTTCTCTTTTTAGCTTGGCTTTTAATACTGAATAGGCAGAAATTCTCTGACTGTTTTATTGTAATTTCTCTTTATTGTTGCTGTTTGTGTCTTTTTTTATGGGTGTTTTAACTGTGTACAGCACTTTGGTCACTCCTTGTGTGTAAAGTGCTTTTTAAATAAAGTTTGATTGATGGATTGAGCAGATGAATCAGTTACTGACAGCAAAATCCACATTTAGAGCCAGATGTGACGAAATTAGTTTCACATAAAGATTCATAAACAGACTAAAGGAAAAAACCCAAATATCTGAACACAAATGATTAGACAAATAACTTATTTCTGGTTAAATGTGTGTTTGTGCTCTCAGATGACAGAGTGGGGGTGAGGAGGGAGGGGTTGATGGGAGAACAGAACAAAGAGAGGGAGGTGGTGAAGGTCCCACCAAAGCCTGAACAGGTGATTTTAAAGGAGTCCACTGATCTCAGGCGCAGGGGGAGAGAGGTTCAGAGTCTGGTGGCCACAGCAGCAGATGATCTGTCACCTTTGACCTTTAGCCTGGTGCTGCACAACCAGTAGGCTTTGGTATGGAGATTTGAATCAGTTCAGATGAACCAATTCAGATGAACCAGTTCAGGTGAACCAGTTAAGAGTGACGTAAAAAGCAGAGATAAAACATCTAATACCAGCATTGTTTCTCTGGGGCTTTTAAGTTGTTTTATTTGGACAACTTTACCAAAACTGTTTTAACTCAACTGAACATAAAATTCATTTTATAACTTTACGACAAAAAACAACTAAATGTCTGTTTTCATTTTATTTTGCTGGCAAATCTAATAGCTAAATAATAAAGAAGGAAAAAATAGTTTAATGACAGAATAGAATCTGTGTTTATGGGATGCTTCAGGTCTGCTGCTCCTGTCTGGCTTCATGGGCGCGGCTCTAAGCTTATTTTCCCTTCGGCTGCAATAACTAAAGTTTCTAGTCTGAGTTATGAAATCTGTTCTTTCTGAGCAACAAGGTAAACACCTGAACTCACCGCTTCCAACTCAGGTGAGTCAGGAGGAACCACCTGGGTCGGGACAGGAGGAGGATATGACCTGAAATCTGTTGCCAAATCAGAACCAAATATATTTGATGAATGTAGAATTTAATTTTAGGCATTTAGGACCTGACCTTGAAGTTATTTCTTGTACCTCTAAGAAGCAACGCCATCTTTTAGGGACAGCAGGAGCTCAGGAGGTAAATGGAAGGTTTTAAGTTCGATCCCCGCTCCAACCAGAGAAGGCTACCGTCGTCGTGTTCTCGGGCAAGACACTTAAACCATTTTAGCTGCTGGCGGTGGTCCGAGGGACCCTGTGTTAGGTAGCCTTGCTTCTGTGAGTGCGCCCCAGGGCAGCTGTGGCTACAGTGTAGCGCATCTCCATCAGGTGTGAATGTGTGTGTGTGAATGGATGAATGGTACAAAGCACTTTGGAGTCTTCTCATTTGTTTTACTCTAACATCGGTTGAAGCAGGTTAGAGGCCAACGATGAGCTAACAATGCTAACAGTGACTTATAGGCAACTCTAAAAAAATCTCCAGCTACTTTTTCAACGACCAACATTTAGATATTACTGTGAAATGTTTTTATCTACTTGTGAACTTCCTGTTTGACTCGTCTTAACTAGAATCTTCTGGCACCGATGCATAAAGACTAATTTATACGTCTGCGTTTAGATGGAGACGTGCCACACCATTATGCGTAGGCGCAAGGGCTCTCTGACGGGCTCACAGCAGGAGACAGAAGCACGCCATACCTTTTACTATCCATCGAAAGTGACAGCGACTGCAAGCTTGCGATTGGTCAGGATGCTGCTTCCTTTAAATTCATCAACAGCACCGCCATTGCCCCCTCAAAAAGTAAAAAGAAAAAAAAAACAAATTTTGCAGCAGACACAGAGCAGATAGAAGAACGCGCCACGGAAAAAATAAATAATGTTGGACCAAATGTGTGACTAATGGTGAGAATGTACCCCAGAACAGCGCCTCGCCCTCTGTTGTCCTGGCGGGGAACTGCTTTGCAACCCTCCCCAGGTGATGGAGAAGTCTAAAGAGAAAACATCTCACTTGTTTGAAAAATGGGCTGCTGTACCATAATTGTCCACAAGACATTCTTACATTATGCACCTTTAAAAAGTTTTGCTGATTTGCGGTTTTTGCTGCAGCTGAGCGGCGCTGCGAGTGTAACGGGAGGGCTCAGTTCTGCCAGCTCGATGCCACGGGTCTCAGGTGTATCGAGTGTCAAGGAAACACCGAAGGTCGTCACTGTGAGCGCTGCAAGGTTGGTTTCTACCTCCAGGGGGCGGGACTCAGCTGCACACCCTGCAACTGTAATCCTACAGGTGAGAGGACACCTGTCAGTGTGACATCATCACATCAAACATGATCACAGGTGTCTGAAAGCTCTGTTGGGTCTCCAGGTTCTGTCAGAGCAGCGTGTGACAGCAGGGGGCGCTGTAGCTGCAAAGATGGCGTCAGAGGAGAGAAATGTGACCGCTGCCCCGATGGGCCGATCAGACCCGACGGCTGCTTGCGCAGGTCAGGAAGGAGTTCTGACCCGTTTGACCGTTTCTAGTCAACGATTCACTTCCTGGTTTTTGTTTCTTTAGCCAGCAGAAGCGAGAGGATTCTGGGAGTTTGAGTCTGCCGTGTTTCTGTTACGGACACAGCCAGCAGTGTTCTGCCACACGTGGTTACTCCATCTACAACGTCACCTCCACCTTCTCCACAGGTAAGTTCCCACCTGGTGCTCTCTCTCAGCAGAAAAACAAAGTTCACCCTGGGTTTTGTTTCAGGTCCAGAAGGTTGGAAGGCAGCGACGGTCCGGGGCGTCACTCCTGATGACGTTCACTTCCGTTGGTCACCAAAACACCAGGACTTGGAGGTCATCTCCAGAGTCAGCCCACCAATATACCTGCATGCCCCAGGTGAGACAGGCTCCACCTCCTGCAGGTCTTCTTGAACCTTGGTTCCGTTGACTAAATGTTCCCCCTCCTACCCTGTAGAACCCTTCCTGGGGAACCAGCTGCTGAGTTATGGACAGAACCTCTCCTTCTTGTTGCGTTTGGACCGTGGTGTCCCACACCCGTCCACCAATGATGTGGTCTTAGAGGGCGCCGGTATGAGAGTCTCCGCCTCTCTGGGGGACCTGAGAACCGTCATCCCCTGTGGACAGAAGATCAGCTACAGTTTCAGGTCAGAAAACAACCTGCCAATGTGTATGACATCACACCTGACCCAATAAGCCCCACCCTCCTGGAGATCCTGCCTGGCTACCGGTGAGCCTGGTGCAAGGAAGCCCTGGATCCCTAAAACAAAGAAACCAGGCCTGGATTAGGAATTTCACAGAGCTGCTGTTTTGATCTTGGACAGAAGGCTGTCCCACCTGATTGTGAACCTCCTCAGACTCTAACCATGCCCTCCATACCCTGTCTGCTGAACAGGCTGGACGAGCAACTTGGCGCCACGTGGAGACCTCAGCTTTCCTCCTTTCAGTTCCAGAGCCTTCTCGAGAACCTCACAGCCATCATGATCCGGGCCACGTTTGGAGAGAACGGTGAGTTCCTTCGATGGACGAGGGTCCCTGTAACTTTCTGTCTCAGATTATGGATAAAGTGGGTTCTGGTCTCCATGAACACCAGGAACCATATTCAGTAGTATAACGGAGTGTGTGTGAACTGTTCCATCCTCTCAGGTCGTGGTTACCTCGACAACGTGAAACTGGTGTCGGCGCGCCATGGAGAAGGCATCCCGGCTCGTTGGGTCCAGACCTGCAGCTGTCCACGAGGACATGAGGGCGAGTTCTGTGAGCTCTGCTCAGACGGGTTCCGGCGCAGGGTTCCTGCCAACGGAGCCTTCAGCCCCTGCGATCCCTGCAGCTGCAGGGGGGGGAGCTGTGACCCTCAGACTGGAGACTGTTACTCTGCAGACGAGACGCCCGGTGAACAGAGCTGTTCCGTGGGGTTTTACCAGGACCGGCAGGGGACCTGTGTTAGGTGTCCCTGTCCAGACGGGACATCCTGCTCACTGGCCGCTGGTTCTCCGGAGCCTCGATGTGACTGGTGTCCCCCAGGAGCCTTCGGTGAGGAGGTGGAGGGTAGGGTGGGTAGATATATGATGAATAGCAGAGAAACGAGATCAGAACCCTGTGGAACACCACAAAGTCTAATTTACCTGGAAGTGATGAGAACAGCCACATACAAGCCAGCTAAGAGAAGTGATGGTGTCAAAGGCCAAACTTGTGTTTGTGTATGTGTTTGGGGGGGGGGGGGGGGGGGGGGGGGGGGTCATCAGTACCACTATTAACCAGAAGGTGCGTGTGTGTTCTTCAGGTTCTCGTTGTGATGTCTGTCGGGAGGGTTTCTATGGAGATCCTGCAGGTGCTTCAGGCGTGCAGCGTCCCTGCAGACCCTGTAGCTGTAACGGACACATCGATACCAGCGTGGTGGGAAGCTGCGACCGGAGAACCGGAGAATGTCTGAGATGTTTGAATCACACAAGTGGGCGGAGCTGTGAGTCGTGTCTGAGAGGTTTCTACCACCAGAGACTTTCAGACGCCTGCAAACGTAAGACCAGGACCTTCAGTCCATCCTGCCTCACAGTTCCTTCTAATCCTGAAACGGGTTCTCCACCGAGCAGCTTGTAGCTGTGATGCTCAAGGCTCCGAGTCCGAACAGTGTGAGGATTCTGGTCTCTGTCGGTGCCGACCGGGTTTCCAGGGTCTGAGGTGTGAACGGTCCAACTGTCCTTCCTGTTTCAACCCCGTCAAAATAAAGGTATCAGCTCTGATGACTGCTGGGTATCATGCTAAGTCTCTACAGCCCACCCTGCTGGGCGGGAGGTGGAAGTGTGAGTAGACGCTCCACTCTGACTCATTTGAGAACATCCAGTTGGAATCGGTCTTTGTCAGACACGTGACCTGCGCCGTTTTAGTTGTATGACTCGAGTTGGTAGGGGAAGCTGCAGCTGAAGTCAAAAGGAAGGATAAAAGGAACCAGGAGGAACACATCCCTCACAGGGATGCCCTCATTAAGGAGGCTGGAGATCAGCATTTTCAGAAACTGACCTCAAAGGGAACAAACGGAGCTCAGACGTTTCATTACAGCGTATTATAAATCATCCGAGGAAGCGTAGCACTACTTCAACATGTTTCTAATCAAGTAAAAGTAAAAAGTTCCCGCCCAGAAACACGACTCCACTAACAGGTTGGATTTGTGGGTAATATCAGTGACAGGCAGATACAGAAGTACCTACATCGGGGTTAGCTACACACGATCATTTCCTCTCGTCATTGTCATTTCTCACATAATAATAAATAAAAATTCACTATTTAATATTTAGTCTAAACAAGCAGAGCAGCAGTGCAGCATCATATTAATGTTATTATGAAATGATTTAACTTAAAGTAAGAACATTTTACCTGCTGGTTCTGGTTCTGGCCCGGGACCCAGACCTGCTCTGAGCTGCTCTCACAGCTCCTCAGCGGGCCGGTAGCTGCCGATGTCCTGGTCTGAGATGATGCTCAGATGATCTGATGGGATCTTTTCTTGATAGATCTCGTTATCTCTGTGGTGTTCTCTGTAACGTTAAAATGTCTGCACACCTGCATGCGTCGGGGTGATTCCAGTCTGTCACAATGACCAACAGGAAAGACCCGGCAAGGCCGTCCCAGCCTACATTTAACTTCTTTGCCTTCTTGTGGTCCCGTTTGAGTGGACCCGTTTCTGCAGGTTTAGAAGCTCACAACACACAAAGCTGCTTCCTCTGTTTAGCTGGCACTAGAAAGGCCAAAGGTCACGACACCGAGCAGCCATCTTCCCTTTGCCTGAGAAGCTGTGTGCTTAAGCCTGTTCATAACCATCCTTGGCCATCTGAGAGAAGCACCACGACAAAATCTCTCTCCCTCATCATAAATGAAAGCGTCAGAACTCAGAGCGGACTAATCTGGATTAGGGACGATCCTCTAGCTAATCTCTCTCTTGTGTTTTTCAGCTGGATGATTATGAGGCCAAACTGAAGGATCTGGAGAACATGTTCTCAAGGAAGAATGGAGCTGTGAAACCATCCAGTGGCGCTCTGATGGACGCCACTCTGAGGATGTTTGAGGAGCTGATTAACAACCTGCAGAAGAAGGTGGAGGAGCTCACAGGTGAGACCACACCTGGATGATAATCTCATTTAAACCAATGCAGCACCAGTCAGTCTGACATGATTTTGTACCATTTTTGATTCTACCTGCTGTGATTAGGTCCTGCCCACTCATCACTTCTAAGTTAAACCTATAAAAGTTCTAATTTCAGAAACAATCAGAGCTTTAAATGCTAAACAGAAACATAATAAAAGCTGTCTTTTAGAATTATTATTTAGTTATTAGACCTAAAACAAACATAATACACATTTAAACCAATAAAAACTTCAAATTAAATGATAGCTTTAGGGTCACAGAGGCAGTGTGCCTCTGGTGGATGTGAGTGGAACTGCAGCAGAACACACAAAGCTCCACCCACTCAGGTGAACTCTTTGTTGACGACGTCACATTTTCTGACCCAATAGGGATGGAAAGGAGCCTGCAGAGGCAGCTGTCGTCCATCAGTCAGAAGCAGCTGACTCAGGAACAGGAAGTGCTGAACGTTGACGCAGCAACAGAAGACATCAGACTGCAGCAGCAAACGTGGAAGACAAAGGTGAAGGACGTCCAAACACTGATGGACCAGATGAGACGCAGCCTGGAGGATGCCAAAGCTCAACTCAGATCAGTCGTAAGACAATAGTCGAGCGGTATTCCCGGGAGTTGTTCAGGAATTACAGGAGGTTTACGCTGTTTGTTTTCCATCAGGAGTTTCCTCTCAGAGATGCTCCTCTGACTTCAGACCAGTTGGCTTCTCTGGCACAGACCGCCACGAACCTGGCCAATGAGTGAGGCCCGAGCTTGTGATGTCATTGATTAATCAGGTCTGACGAGTTTTCCTGAGTGCTGATTTCTTCTTCTATCCACCCCCCAGACACCAGGCAAAGGCGGACGCCATAGAGCCGACAGCCAACGAGGCTCTAGACGATGCCAAGAAGAGCCTGGATCTGGTCCAAGTTCTGATGGACCGGGAGAACAAAGTCAAAGACCTGACTGGAGACCTGAAGGTTCTGTAAGTGTCTGAGGAGGTCCTTTGATCATTCATGATGGAAGAACTTTCATTTCTTTTGGGGGGGGTGTGTGCAGCTACACTCAGCTCACCTCTCAGGTGAAGACTCTGGAGAACGAGGCTATGAACCAAAGCGACAAGGCTCGGGTTGAGAGTGGAACAGCTGACCGGATGTTGAATGACATCTCCAGGATTGAGCAGAGTTTTCCTCCTCCTCTGAAGGTAACAGCTGAGGCAGAAGATCTAAACCTGAGACCTACTGAAGGCCTCCAACCTCACCTTGTTTCATTCCAACAGATGGATGTGGGTACCATGGCACTCAGGCTGGGTGGGCTGGAGAATGCGGTGCAGGAGAACATCTCAGCTGTGGAGAAGCTGCAGGATTCTGTGCAACAAAGCCAAACATCTGCTGAAGAGCAACTGGCTGAAGGCAGAGCTGCTCAGCAGGTACAAGATCTTCAACCAGACAAGAACTGAAGCTCAGCATGGGTCGCTCCTGTTAGGAATCATCTAAACTAGGCTCCTTCTAATTCTCCTCACCCATTCATGTGGGATGTTACCTCCTCATATCGGTTTCATCTTCAACTGCAGGAGGCCAACAAGCTGCTAGACAGAGTCAACATTGCCAAATCTGAAACAGAGATCGCTCTGAAGAGCATCCAAAACAACGTAGACAAACTGGATGACACCCTGGACTCCCTAAGAGGTGAACGTCTTGCTGTATCACAAATATCTCCTCATACAAAGTGTTAATTCAGCTGCTTTCCATCAGCTGGTGTGAGCAGCAGGTAGATGGATTTAACCAACTGAAACAATTTTACCTCACAGGTTTTGACCAACAAATCGATGACAGCAAAGCTCTGTCAGACGCTGCCATCAAACGCCTTCCAGACATCAACGCCACCATCCAAGCAGCTCTTAGCAGCAATGCTAAGACCCAGTCCACCTTAGACATTGTGTCCAAAGGTCACAAAAACACACTGGGAACAATTGACCAACTACAGAACCTCATCAACAATCTGGAGGTGAAAACCTTTTTATTCTCAGTATAAAGCATAAGCTTACCATGTGCATTTGACTTAACATAGCACATGCATTTAGTCTAGCACAGCACCAGCATTTAGCCTAGCATAGCACATGCATTTAGCCTAGCACAGCACACGCATTTAGCCTAGCACAGCACATGCATTTAGCCTAGCACAGCACATGCATTTAGTCTAGCACAGCACCAGCATTTAGCCTAGCATAACACATGCATTTAGTCTAGCACAGCACCAGCATTTAGCCTAGCATAGCACATGCATTTAGCCTAGCAAACACACGCATTTAGCCTAGCATAGCACACGCATTTAGCCTAGTATAGCACATGCATTTAGCTTAGTATACAATATACATTAAGACTAGCATAGCACATGCATTTAGCTTAGTATAACACATGCATTTAGCCTAGCATAACACACGCATTTAGCCTAGCATAGCACATGCATTTAGCCTAGCTTAGCATATGCATTTAGCCTAGCTTAGCATATGCATTTAGCCTAGCATAGCACATGCATTTAGCTTAACTAAGCATAGCACATGCATTTAGCCTAGCTTAGCATATGCATTTAGCCTAGCATAGCACATGCATTTAGCCTAGCATAGCACATGCATTTAGCCTAGCATAGCACATGCATTTAGCCTACATTAAGGACTATTTATTAAAATCATGTCTGATTAACTTGAAAACAGAGGAAGTGAAAACTTCCATGAGGAAAATCGATTACTGTCAGCGCAATTTTTTTTGAGTGATCGGACTGCAGATCAGCTGATCTTAAGTTTCTCACCAGCTGGTTTAGTGGTGGAATAATTGAGTTAAAATGATGATGAGGATGGGACTCCTCCAGTGAAAACATCTTTTCATCACAATTTTTACTTTTTCTTTCTTTATAATTTTTTTTAATCATTTTTATTTTTTGTTGTGAAGCGCCTCATGACTTATCTTGAGAGGTGTTATGTAAAAGATGGTTTCTTCTTCATAGCTTCTGCTCGACCTGACTGCACCGCCGGCTGTAATGTAGAATGTTTTAACACATAAAACTGATATTTTCGTGGCCTGTGAGGAGTTTTAGCTTCGTGATTTCGGCCCTCGTTTGGACATCCCTGTGCTAGGATGTTTCAAAGTAAGAGCTGTCCAGTGAAAATGCAGATTTTTGTTTCCCTAAAACTCAACAGGATTTTATTTGTTCGGACCTGAACAGAAGATCCTGTTTTTGACTCACTTCTTGTTCTAAGGAGAACAGGAGAATCTGAATCTGCTCCTCACCTGGGCATGTTATCTGTGTGTAATTTAGGGGACTCTAGACTCGTTGCCACCTCAAGCTGATGTGGTGACTGAAGCCACAAGGCTGAACAAGGAATCCAAGGACCTGAAGACAAACCTGGAGGGGGCGGCTGCAGACACGGACTCTCAGCTGGAAGATGCCAGGCACCTGAATGCTACAGCTCAGGAGGTGATCTCTGATAACAGCTCACCTGTCCGACACGAGCCTTACCACAACCTAATAAGTGAATGTCTCCTCTGCAGGCTACTGCTGCAGCGACTGGAGCTCTCAGCAAGGCCTTCCAGACCAAAGAGGCCGTGCAGAAGGTTCTGCAGGATGTCAACCAGCTGCTGGCCTCCCTGAGTACGTTCACGATTTCCATTTTCTCACTAATCTGATTAAGAAGTTTTTACTAAATAAGGATCAGTGGTCACCTTTATCTTCACCTGAGGCTTTCTTACGTCCACAGACCAGTCCGAAGTCCTGGATGAGAAGCAGGTGAAGCAGCTGGAGGACTCTCTGGCCTCTGCTGAGAAGGAGGTGGAGGACCACCTGAGGCCTCGACTCCACGACATGGTGCAGCAGGAGGCGGCGCAGCGCCGACTCCTGACCCGGATCAACCTGGACATCGACAGCATCATGGCCGACATCGCTAACCTGCAGAACATCAACAGCACCATCCCTGGCGGCTGCTTTAACAGCCCCCCCATAGAGGAGGCCTGAAGGACGCAGACACTGAGAGCCCCATTCTGGTCCTCCTGGGCCACCATCTAGCCTCTTCCACAGAGTTCTACCTGTTCAGCAGGTCCTCGGGTTCTCCAGTAATCACCTGCTGAGTGAAACCAGGTGTGCTGGAGCCAAGCAGAGGAACCTCTAAAATCATGGTGGTCCTGAAGAAGCTGGAGTTAGTTTATACAAAACAGATATTTTGATGCACTTTTATCACCCACAACAGAAGAAGTGTTAACTCCTGAAATTTTTGATATTTATTGGATAATAAATACAAATAAATGCTGGTAAAACAAACATTTACGAGTCAGATTTTAAAATAAAAGCGTGGCCATGTTGATGGAGCTGGTTGTGTCTGCAAATGTATTTGATTGTTTACCATCAGGGTCAAACAGCAGATATGTAGTTTTCTATGTGTGACTGAAAATAAAAACCTTTCCTACATTTTTATTTCTTCATATTTCAGGACTTGTCTAATTTTGAGATTTAAAAGCAAATTTTATTTTCAAATGATCTGATCTGCTTTTGTTCTGCTGCAGATGAAAAATAAAATAAAATTAATCTGCTTTACTCCTCTGACTCAAATAAAATGTATTTGTTTCAGTCTGACCGTGATGATTCACTAGAGGAGCTACTGTGTTTATCCAGCAGGGGGAGCAGGTGATCCGAAATAAAGAATCGGATCAGAAATATTAAAGACTGGATTCACTTCCAGGCTTATTGTCATCTTACATCCTTCTGCTGCTCTGATCTCAGGTCAGTTTTGTTCATCTTTAAGTCTTTGATCAGATCTAAATCTGATCTGTAAACAGCTGTGATGACAAAATCTCACAAACAAGTCACAATAAATAATTTCACACTCAGAAGTTCGTGCAACAGAAACAGCGGATTAATACAGAAACAGGTTCAGCTACGTGTAATCAACCCCCCCCCCCCCCCCCACCCCCCCCACACACACATGGAGATAAACACAAGCAGATGACATCGGCTCGTTTACAGAGCTAATACAAACGTGTGTCGCCGTGGAAACGATCTTCACTGAAGCTAAATGTTATTTATAATAATTTTCCAGACATGTCCACGACAGACCATAATAATCTTGAGTGAAAACATTAATGCCAGAACCTAACCAGCAGAAGAAAGCATGCAGGAGGAGAAACAGAGGGTCCAGTTCAGTTGGCTCCTCACCATCACCATCCCATGTTGCCATGGTAACATGACTCACCAGGCTCAAACTGATAAAGTTCAGGTTCAAAACAAAGTGAGATTTGAGGAATATCTGTGCGTGTGTGTGTGTGTGTGTGTGTGTGTGTTCAGGCCAGGTTCTTGAGTGAAAGTGAAAGTTTCTGACCAACAAACCTGTTCTGTTAAAATCTCACAATAATAATTAACATCCAACATGAATCCAGAACCGGATCAGAACCGGGTCACCTGATAGAAACCAAACTCCTGTTTAAACTATGAGACTTGGTAAGGATCCATGTGCTAACATCTGGATCAGGTTCTGCCCAGCCTAGCCCTGAGCATGCTCTGCTGCTGACCATGCACCTGTTTACACATGAAGCCCCTCCCACCCACCCCAACAAAGGTAGGGTCACATGACACAGACAGGAGGCACAGATCAAAGAAGAGTATAAGTCTGAAGACGGACGAGGAAGTTTCAGTTCTTTTTTTTTTGGGGGGGGGGGGGGGGGTATAAAGTAGATGGTTGTAGAAGCCCCTCCCCCTACCATCTTTGTTCTGGGTGTTTTCATGTAGCAGGTTTATCCAGAGGCGTTGATGTACAGCTGGCTCTGAAGGATGTAGTCAATGACGGGCTGACTCAGGTAGTCCACGACGTGGCCGTCACCGTGCTGCAGAGCCAGTCTGGGGGGTGGGGTTAAAGGTCAGATCACATCAATGGTTTATGGCCTCTAAATTCTGTGATTAGTGATCCCACCTGCTCTTTGTGGAGCTGACAATGGACATCGGGTGGTTTGTTGCATCCTTCACCGTGACGATATTGTCCTAAAGCACACGGCAGCGTAAACACAAGGCACCATGGGAAAAACGATTTCAAACGTCCTAACTTCTCCAGAGGCTGACATCTTAAAGGTCTTAGTGGAAGGTTGGGCAGCCGCAGGTCAGGAGGTTTAAACCGCCTCTCACGATAAAAGCCACGAGGCGCTTCACAAGAACAAAAATAAAGTTTAAAAAATATTTTAAAAGATGATTAAAAATAAGTTTAAAAGGAGAAAAGCAAAATAAGGAAGGGGAGCGGGAACGTGAGTAGGAAAGAGGGAAATCAGTGAATCGTGTGAAAGTTGGAATAAGAGCGGAACAAGGAGAGGGTGGTGATGAAGGTAGAGGGCGCTGTCCAGTAATCAGAAGGTTGCAGGCTTGATCTCGGCTCCCGCCAGAGAATGCTGCCGCTGTGCCCTTGGGCAAGACACTTAACCCACCTTGTCTACAGGTGGTCGGAGGGTCCGGTGGCGCCTGTGTACGACAGCCTCGTCTCTGTCAGTGCCCGGGGCAGCTGTGGCTACAATGTAGCTCATCACCAGAGTGTGGATGACTGATTTAGCTGTAAAGCACCTTGGGGGGTTGTAGAACCCTGAGAATGCTCTATACAAATACAGGCCATTTACCATTTAAACATTAATTCAGAAAAATTCCTGATCTAGTCTGTGATCAGAAGAATCTGGACTCAGGTTGTTACCGTGGCAACAAACGTAACAGTATCAAAATACTTTACTCTGCAGGTCGGTTCAGCCACGCCTGTCGCATTAGCCTCAGCTGGTCTACCACTGGCTTGATCAGTTTTGTGTCTGGCCAATCACAGCGTTCTACGTTTGATGGTTCTAGTGCTGTCCAATGGACATTTTTCTTTCTTTATATACACTATGCGGAGACGACCGTAGATTACACCCCACGACTTGGAGGTTTCAGACGCTCGCCAGGCTTCCATAGAAACCCCACACACCTATCTCACCTTGTATTTGCGTAGGATTGACGAGTGATTCATGATCCTCTCAGTGTCGACTCCGTCTCGAGGAACCACCACGATCCCAAAGTCTCCAACAATAACCTCCATCTGAAACCACAAACACTCCAGAACGTTACCTCCAGCTTGTTCTTCAAACTGGGGCAGGTGTCCTCGGCAAAAACATCCACATCAAGCATCAGTCATGTGATAAAGAGATCATCTAAGGGGCGGGGCTCCATGTAGTTGGGTTGGACTACATGAGAGTGGGTGGGGCTTATTGTGCTTACATCACTGTCCTTCCAGAGGCCAGGGATGCAGAAGGACTCCAGGAGGTCACTGCCACACAGGAGAAGGATGCGTAACTCTACAGGTGACACACGGCAGGAGGAGAGAGACAAAACATCCTCAGTAAACATCACGTTTACCTTAGTAAACATGGCGGTAACCATCATGTTTACGCTGTAAACCAGAAGTTTACTGGAGCCAAACAAGCCAGAAGGAAATGACACGCAGCAGGAAGTCCTGACTCGTTCGGGTCAGAAGACTCACCGATCTCCTCGTATCTCATGGCGGTGCCCAGGTTGGCGTTTTCATCTGAAATAAACCATCAGCTTTGTTTGTAAATACAGTCTCAAAGGTCTCATTACCAACAAACAAAAACTTATTTGGTTCATTTTAGCAATAATTATGAACATTTTCTACTCGTTTTCTTACCAACAAACGTGAAACGTTCCATCTGAGGACGAACGCAGCAGATTTTACCCAAACTCTCACCGATTTTCCCCCAAAGTTTGACTGAGAAACACAACAAACATCTTATTAACCCACGAGAAATGTATGTAATGAACACATGATGTGTCTAATGAACACATGATGTGTCTGATGAGCACATGATGTATCTGATGAACACATGATGGTGTCACTCCGGGTTGGACTCACTGGCCGTGATGTTTGTGTGTTTGTTGTTGATGGTGCTATGGTTCTGGTAGATGGGCGGAGTCTGGTTCTGAGGCTGACCAATCACAGGAGTGGTAGACGGCGTGTTGACGTTGGACAGGATGCAGCCGGTGACTCTCTGAGGGACAGAAACACGTTTGGACTGGATCAAGCGGGTTTCTCCATGAACAAAGTTCTGACTGGTTCTGTTTACATGTTTCCGCAGGTCATTCAGAAGAATCGTCCCAGAATCAAATCTGTAAGTAAAAGATTCCATTTCTGCTCTTCGGTTCATTTTTGTCCCTAAACCTGATGCCTCAGCACTTTGGCTCAGGCGGAACCTCCAACCTGAGCGGACCCGGGTCACCTGACTGACCTTCATGAGGTCGCGGTGATGCTCCAACACGCTGCAGGTGGTCTGCCAGGTGTCCTGGTAACACTCCCAGGGGTCCACTCTGTAGGAGACACAACCAGAACCATCACAGAGACCTGACCCAGTCAGGACAGGCCACACTCATTCTGACTTTGCTAAACTCGGTCACTTCCTGCAGAAGTTTCACAATAAGAGCCTGAAAAAAATGAAATATTCTGGTTTTAGTCTAGATCTCAGGATCTGATGTGGGATCTGATTCAGACTCTGAAACAAAAATTCAAAACAAAATTATTTACAAAAGACAATCAAACTAAATTTAATATCAGCCAGATGTACGATGTACATTTGAGGACATCTTCAGTCTGACATGAGAATGTCCCAACATGGCCACCGTAGACACAACCCAAACTGGGACAGAAATAACAGTTTTAATGTTTGTTTTTTTTTCTACAGGAACAGAACCTCTGAATGACTGACAGACAACTCACCTGATCCAATCAGATGACTGGACGGCCAGCTGACACATGGTGAGACGATGTCGGCTGGACACCAGGCCCTGCACACATAGACAGGCTCCATTTGTTTCTGAGAAATATGGGTTCTGGTTGGACCGGTTCTGGAGCAGAACTCAACAGGATCACAAAGATGCTAAATCAGTTCACCTGGATTTAAAAGGGTAGTTCTTCAGAACCAGTACAACCCAAACTAGATCAGCACCACATGCTTTTATTTTGAAAGAGTTTGACTGGATTTCTGCAGCATTTATTTTTCATGTTGAGTTTCTGCAGCAGAAGGAAAGTAGGACAAGAGCTTTGTTAACTCTTTCAGAACCAGCATGGACCTGAGTCCCAACTGGCTTCACATCTCCTGCAGCTTCTGCAGACCCAGGTCCTCCAGGTTCTGATGGAGCAGCTGCAGCGGACTTTTGGATTTGTTTAGAAGAGGAGAAGAACTGGGAGGAAGAGGAGGGAGCCGACCTGTACACCATAGACCTGGTTAGAGTTTCTGAGGATCTGGATCATGTGGTCTCCTGGTTAGCAGAAGAGCTGCTGCTCCTCTAGATCTAAATCTGTAGAGCTGACCCTGTTTAGGCGACCAGATGGAACTTCTTCAGCTCAAGTCTCCCTGAAATGTTTGACCAGACATGTAAATTTGTGATTCTTTGTTCTGTTCTGCAGAACAAAGTAGAACCTCAGATTTATTGAAGCAGATGCAGGATCAGAACCTAAACCCGAGTCTGGATGGAACACAGAGAGGCCAAACGCATGGCCCAGAGGAACGTCTGGGTCAGGCACAAAGCTAGCTCCTCCTCTTCGCCTCCGATCTCATCTGTAAACCATCAGTTAATCAAAGCCCATGTTTCAGGGAGCATCAGAACAGAGCCACCATCAGGTGGATTACATCATCACTGACATCACAGAGCACTCACAGGTTTTCCATAGGAGTCGTGAACTGGTGAGATGATGCCTCCGATCACAATGAATCTTCCTGTTTTGTGCAGAAACTCTCTGGCTTTTTCTGCAGGAAACAAATGAAGAAGTGAATAAAAGTGAATCCGGCGTCAGCTGTTAGCTCTGGATTAAAATCCATCATTTCATCTGTTTGGATTGGGATTATCTGATGTTATTTATTCACTTCCTGTACATCCACAGGATCCGATTCTGATGGGTGTAACACCTGATATCCTTTTATTTTGTAACTACGAACAGCTTTCAGCCTTCAAAATAAAAGTCTAATTATCAGGCATTTAAGATTTAAGCTTGAAAGTGAAATTAAAGTCAAATCGGATAATCCCAGCTCCATCAGAATTCTCCTGGAGCAGAACCTGAGAGGATCAGACACAAATAAAACCTAAATGTTAAAAACTGAAACACAAAAAGCATAAAAACATTAAAAAGGTCAGAAACAGCAGAAAATCTCAGATAGATTAGAATAAAATTACAAGTTAAAACGAGACTCTGGATTTGAGTTTTAGAAATAAAATAAACTGAATTAAATTATTCAGAAATCAAAGAATTAAATTTTTTCGTGTTTTTGATGAAAAACTTCATAATTTCTAGTTTTAAAGAAAAACACGAAAACCTAAAGTTGTTATATTTCATTTTTGAAATCTTCACTAATATCCAGAAGAACGTTTATTTCACTACTAGAACATTCCCGAACCCGTTCAGGATCCGCAGAAAAACCGAACTTGGACCGACTGACTTGAGGCCTGCCCGGTTCTGACGCAGATAAACACCTCTGAGCAAGGCATCACACCTGGGCGGGTTCTGATCCGAACCCGTTCCATCAGAATCCCGGAGGAGGTTAGGTTCTGGTTTCTACAACACGACGCCCGTGTTTACCAATCAGAACCGGAACCCGCTGCTGACCTGATTTCGTCCCCTCCCTGGTTCTGACACTGTGGGTCGGGCCTTTCCGAACCACCATGCTGTCCGACGCCTCGAACCGAACTGACCCATCCAGGCTAATTCTGAGTCTCATGAGCAGTCCGGTACCAGGTCCCCGGAGACCCACCGGGAGACTTACCGAACATATGGATGTGTCCCTTAGTGACCGGGTTGAAGCTCCCGCAGGACAGAAGGATCACGTGCGTCTTACTGGTTTCTGTCATAGTGTCACGGTCCGGTCCGGTCAGATTCAGTCCTTCTGTTGTTTCTGGATCCACCGCAGAGATGGAGAGGTGAGGCTGTTTGTGCTGCAGGATGCTGATCGGGCCAGAACCAGGAGCGTCTTAAAGAGACACACGCACTCCCAGCAGCCACCGCGCGGTCCCTAACCAGCATCAGCATGGTGCTGATGCTGTTTAGATCCAGGTCCAGGACCAGCCCCATATGGGTCCAGGTCAAGGACCACACTGGGTTCTGGGTCCAGCACCATATGGACCAAGACCCCACCTGACAGATAGTGACAGGCTTCCTCCCTCATGCTCTCACATACAAAGTAAGACACACCCACTCACACACCGTGCAAAGCGACCCACCACTCCTGACCCCAACCAGATGGCCAGCTCCCACTCCTAGCCTCCAGCCTCCTACCCACACCCAAAGACCTATGTGCATGTTTGTGTGGTGACGTGAAGGAGCAGGAGGAGGAAAATGTCTGGGGGGCTTAGACCCTCCAGGGAGCCAGCTCTCCCACTGGCCCCAATAGGCACCCCCTGTTCAGGGGCGCAGATAGGATGTTCAAACTGGGGGGGACAAAGTTTCAATGTACCCTCCCCCAAACACATGCACACACACACACACACACACACACACACACACGCACGCACGCACGCACGCACACACGCACATGCACAAACTATGGCAAGCGCCTTAACTAGAGCTCAGTCAGTTTGTGTAATTTCATCCAACGGTTTACGTAAAAACGAACACTTATATACGTGTTTGAAGCCATTATGCAGTGGAACGCTGCCAACAAAGCTCTGCCTGATCAAATGATAAATGATTTGCACTTGTATAGCGCCTCTCAGAGTAAGGACTCCAAGCGCTTTACACTACAGTGTATCTTTCATCCATTCACACACACGTTCACACAATGATGGTGATGAGCTACGATGTAGCCACAGCTGCCCTGGGGCACACTGACAGAGGTGCCCCACTATTTAATTCAGTCATTTGTTATTCTCCCAATCAATTACTAACCAAAACCTCTTGCTTTATGCAAAACATTAAATGATTTTCAGCGTACCAATCTTTACAGAAAACATAAAAGCTCTAAAAAACTGCACATAAAATATAATAAGAAACGATATTCACTTATCACTTAGAGCAGTGGTTCCCAAACTTTTCAGCCTGACCAATAGATGTTCCTTCACATTTTTACGTTATTTAGAAATTTTCATTATATTTGGAAAGTTTTAATTTATATATAAATTTATAAATGTCTTTTAAAATTTTATATTTTACTTTTTTTACAATTATGTGACACACTTGACCCATACATGACGCATCGGCATCTGCCTCCTTTTACAGCTTTTCTTTTTTACATTGTTGCTACGTCTATCACATTAGCAGTGTTTTTACCATCATTTCTACATCCATCATGTCCCAGAGAAGGTTAAACCAACAACAAACCCAACGTTTGGAGCTTGTAAACTCCACACACCTCTCGTGCAGCACCAGCTGTCTGATGCTGCAGCAGCGTCAATCTTCCCAGCTGGATGAGTGAATTTCTTCATCAGAGTCAATATTTTGCTTCATAATCAGAGTCAGTCATTATCAGACAAAGTGATCAGTCAACAAAGACCAGACCTGCCAGCAATTATACGTTTTATCTAATATTTGCGCTATCCATGCTGCCCACATCTCCTCCTCTCCCCGACTGGGAGCCTCACAGCGGGAGGAGTTTTTCAAACTCTAAAAACTCTCAAACTTTGCTCAGCCTGAAGGTTCCACATCTCCACTGTCTTCTGGTGTAAAGTAGTAACTTCATGAGGGATCATATATGTACATGAAACTTGTTAAAGTCAGCAGTGAGGCTTATAACGAGTAAGTCCCAACACTGACAACAACGTACTGAAACTAGAACCAACATGCATAAACAGACAGATCGGTCCAGCCTACTTACACTGTTGGCCTTTTTTAGATACGCAGTAATCGTTGCTTGCCTTTTTCGCTTCATCCTGCATCCTAGCAGCAACCACTTTGGCGCCTCTGGAGTCCGTGTTTGTTTACATCATGCTGCATTCACTGTATTTGGAAAAAGGAGCATCAAGCGCTTAACCTCCGATTTTGTTTTCTTTCTGGCCTTAGTGGGGGTCGGGGGGGGGGGGGGGGGGGGGGATCATTAAGACACTTAAAAACCATTAAAACCACCTTAAAATCGACCCTGAAACATACAGGGAGCCAATGCAATGTTTCTAAAACTGGTGTAATGTACTCCTGCCACCTGGTCTTCATCAGGACACGTGCTGCCGAATTAGGTAGTTGTAAACCTGAGACGCTCTTTTTGGGAAGACCAGAAAGCAGGGCATTACAGTAGTCTATTCTACTGGTGATAAAAGCATGCATCAGCATCTCCGTGTTGGCCCGAGAGCGAATAGGGCGGACTCTGGCGATGTTCTTTAGATGATAAAAACCTATTTTGTGATGCTTTTAATGTGTAGGATAAAAGTCAGCTCTGAGTCAAAAATCACACCCAGGTTCTTCACAGACATAGGATTAAAAGACAGATTGTAGTTTCGGTAAAAGTTTCTCTCTCTGGGCCTCAGGACCGATAACTAAAACTTCAGTTTTGTCCTTGTTGAGCTGGAGAAAGTTCTCCGCCATCCAGGATTTGATGTCTAATATGCAGTTAAAAGTGCATTCATTGGCTGAGAGTCATCAGGAGACACGGAGATGTACAACTGTGTATCATAACTGTGAAAGTTGACTCCATGTCTCCTAGTGACCCCGCCAAGAGGGAGCATATAAAGGTTAAAAAGCACTGGGCCTAAAATTGAACCTTGGGGCACACCACATGTAATCCCATGGACCCTCGAGGAACAGGTATCCAAACTCACCATGAAAGTCCTGTCTGTGAGGTAGGATGTGAACCATCTATGTACAGCACCAGAGGCAGATCTGTTTTAAACAAGTTAAAAGAACTGTGTGGTCTACTGTATCGAAGGCAGCACTTAGGTCCAGTAGAATCAACACAGTTACCTTCAGTTTATCATAATTCAATCTAAAATCATTTAAAATCTTCAAAAGGACCGCCTCTGTGCTGTGGTTCACCCTAAAACCAGAATGAAATTTCTCCAGGACATTATGAGTGTTGATAAAACCATTTAGTTGATTTAAAACCAACTTTTCTAAAATTTAGCTTAAAAATGTTAAGTTAGATACCACTCGATAATTGTTTAAATCATTCAAATCTAAATAGCTTTTTCCTTTCCTGCGAGAGCTGAAAGGCTTCAGGTGTACGGAGAGCTGTAGTCCAGGTGAGACACCCCACACACGTAACACCTGTGGGCAGAGCTACTCTGAACAGCCTTCTGAAGATTCACACCAGGAGCCTAACTGAAGTCTATGGGAAAGTTTTCCAACAGTTCACCTGAGGACACACACTGCTGAGAACATTTTCCTGTCCCAGGTGTGGAAAACGCTCGTCCCAGACTGATCCTCTAACCTACTTGTGATGCACCTGTGGACTCGTCAGCATTTAAGACACCTGATTGTCCACTCGGATCAGAAGCTGCATTCCTCTAACACCTGCGGGAAACATTTCATCACAATCGTCCGTCTGACAGCTCACCTGAGGCCTCACACAGGTGAGCCACCTTACATCTGCAGCATCTGTGGGAAGCGTTTCAAAGACTCTTGGGCTGTGAGGAAACACAGGAAGTTCCACTCTCACGTCAGAACTCGCAGCGCTGGAGGAGACCCGGTCAGCTTCCGGTGGACCGGACCTGGAAGTCTTTAAGAGCCAATCAGACGTTCGTTTGGTGACAAAACCAAACTCTACCAGTGAGCAGTGTTGAAGCTCACCTGGACCAGATCAAGTAACTAAACTCAACAGTTTAACCCTAGCAGAGGTGTGTGCTGGCTCCGCCTCCTTTAACAGATGCTACAGGTATGGCTTCTGCGGATGAATCCGAACACCTGAGAGACGCTCCGGATCAGAACCAATCAAAACTCCTGCTCCAGCTTTCTTGTTAAGTTTTTATTATGCTTAAAAAAGAAAATCCAAGACAAAGGAGGAAGTGATCAAAGAAAGAAAAATATATTCAAATATCTTCATACTTTCTATTCATATCTGATTAATGCAGAGAAAATAATCCTCGTAGTGCTGAAGTCCACTTCAATATAGACTTTATTATAACAAAATAGGCGAGGGTTAAACATCTCATCGTACAAGAACGGACTTTCCACACCTGGAGGGGCAGCAGGGCTCCAGGTCAGGCCACGCCCACACATCGCAGTCCTGGTAAGACACTGATGCTGCTGATGGACGTCGCCATGACGACCTCCAGGCTCCCGCTGGCCTCGCAGAGGGCGCCGCGCCGCGACTCGGTGCGGAAAACACGAAAATGTGCAAATTTAGAGTTTTTATTAAAAAGATTTTAAAACTATTTTTAAAGAGTTTGAGATAAATTTAAATATAAAATCTACTTTAATCTCTGATGGTTCTTTTATTAACATGAATAAGTTTATCTGTAAGGCAAAAAGGTCGTTTTCCTGCAGAAGCTGCTCTAATTACACAAACGTCCGCTTCCTCTTAAAAATAGTTTTATTGTGAATATGAGTGTTTGTACAGCTTTGGGATGTTTGCATAATCATGAGATGAACCATGTAAACTGCATCAGTGTTGGCACAGCGTGGTGAAGCTCCTGGAAGGAAAATGAGTGACTTTAGTCTCCGAGGAATTTTAACGCAAACGGCGCAGCTCACAAAAGAAAACGTTTAACTTTCTATACAAACAGTTTCGTTACCTTTATATATATTTGTTTTTGGCACTGAACTGTTTTAGTCATCGCTGTAGTTTAGTGAGCCGACGGTGTTAATAACCACTGGGCCGGGTTGGTGTGGAGCGGCGTGGCGCCCTCCAGACGCTGCAGCGCCCCGACGAGCGTCCCGCAGCAGCAAGGAGCAAAAAATAAAAATAAAAAATTACGGTGAGCAACGTAAAAAACAGACGTAGAAAGAAGTGGTGAAGTCAGACGCTGAGGTGAAAGGGCTGATGGGAAATGAACTGGGGTTAACCGACATGCTGTTAAAGCTCAAACGTGCAAAGTTTTGCTTTTTGTGTCTCCTCTTCCTCTGATCCAACAAACGCCGCCTGAGATGAGGCTCCGCCCAACTGTTTCCTCACAGGACAAAAAAAACCCACAAACAAAAACAAAAGGGTGAAATCTGCTTCGTACGTTTCTTCTGCCTTCGTCACTTCCCACAATTCTTCTGAAGTTCTCCTCCCTTAAACATTAAGGAGCCGTACCGTGCTGTGATGTCACTTCCTGTGTGCTTTACTCAGGAAACTAATGATGAGTCCGTGGGGAGGGTGTGTGTGTGTGTGTGAGTGAAGAGGAGGTGAAGAAGCGTCTCATAACTTCTCCCTGGACAGAACCCAGATGAACGGACCCGACTGCTCCTCGATGATCTGCTTCACCTGGTCGTAGATCTCCTCCAGCGTGTCGCCCTGCACCACGGCTGCAGAACAACAACACGGTTAGCCACCACAACCAATCAGAGCACCAGAACCAGTTCCTGCTAAAGCCTTCTGTGGTTCCGACCCGTGAAATGTTCTGTGAACTCCTGCTCCAGTTTGGCCGCGCGGTCGAAGGTCTTCCTGCCCTGCTCCTCCGTCAGACGCTTGTTCATCTCCCTGCAGGACGGAAACAGCACATCCTGTCAGACTGACCAGAACCGGAACCAGCTGGGGACGATGATCCAGTGGTTCTGACTCACATGATGTTCTCCACAGATTTGGGTTTGATGAAGATGGCGATGGGATGAAGCAGAGCCAGCTGGAGTCTCTTGATGGCGTTTCCTGAAACATCCAGGATGCAGTGTTTCCCCTGAACGCACCACAGAGAACACGTTAACGGGTCAGACGGAACCAACTGGATCCTACCGGACCGGGTCTGTGTGTTGTGTTCGCCGTACCTTCTCCGCCACCGCTCGGACCGACTGCACGCTGGTTCCATACAGGTGGTTGTTGTACTGGCCCGCCTCGATGAACTTATGTTCCTGGATGTCCTTCTCCATCTGCTCTCTGGACACAACAAAGTGGTAGTCCCGGCCGTCCACCTCGTAGTCCCGCTTCGGCCGGGTCGTATCTGAGACGGAACATAACCACAGCCAACATGATCCTGGTCCAGATGGGCCAAATGTGAGGATCAGGTTCTGGACCTACGTGGGACGCAGGAGCCAAATTTATCAGGGAACTCTGAGATCAAGTCGTCGTTGATCCGGTCCTTCATCGGGCCGAGGATGATGACGGGTCGGCTGTAGGTCACTGAGAGGAGAACCAGAACCAGAACCAAGGGTTAGCATCAGGAAACGACCTGCAAGTACTGGTCCCACTGAGGAGCTGGTTGGGTCTCACCTTCCTGCTGAACGACGGGTTCATATGACAGGACGTACTCCTCAGGTCCACCTGGAGACAGAGGTCAGAGATCAGACACACAAAGAAGAAGAAAATATCATTTCTATAGCGCCTCTCAAGATAAAAATCACGAGGCGCTTAACAGGCTGGGGGGTGGGGTTAAGATGAGGCTGCGACAGGACCCTTGTTTGACATCAGGTTTAGGGATGATCATTAATCAGCTGTTGTGGGTTAGTTTTGTTTCCGTAGCCATGGAAACGCTCTAATGCGGACTCAAACATCAGGTGTGATGTCACGCTCCCACTGTCCAATAAGCAGCCAGAGCTCGTTAGTGTTTGCTTGTTAGTGAGTCGGATCGGCGTCAAACTTACGGTAGCTACTCTCGCTATCGCTGGCGTTAGACGTCACGTGTTCTGGAATCAAACACAGGACACAGCGGGTCAGCCAGCGCCGTCCGAATTAACCTCAAAAACCCAGAATGAACTTTACTCTTCATCACATGTTCAGACCCAGCCTCGCAAAACAAGAGGTTCTGGACCCAGACCCAAACGGGGAACATGAAGATGGGCGGAACCGTTTCACCAACAGACTGAAGAGCGATTTCAGGTCATTCACACCGGTGCTGGGCTTCTCACGATAAAAACGTAATTAGTTACAAGTTAGTAACTTAGTTACCACATTGTAAAAGTAATTGGTTACCTAGCAAAGTAAATTACATTACTTTATGTTCTATAACGTGAAAGATTCTTCCTCTCTAGAACGTTCTCATGGATATCTGGAGTGTTGGTTCCTACGGGGAACAGTAGAAGTATGGACATCTGCCTGATCAATCCCGGTGGCTGCCTAGTGGGGTCTGGGTCACTGGGCTCTGCTGGGTCCCCGGCGGGGGGTGGTCGCCCCTGGGTCCCGGGCTCAGCCGGCTAGGGGGTGGGAGGCTGCGGGTGGGCCTGTGGGCTTGCCGCTGATGTCTCCCGGGACTCTGCCGGCTGCTGGTTGTGGCCCCCGGGGGCGATCCTCTGTGCCTCTCGAGGGGGGCGGGGGCATTTCTGGTTGAAGTCTCCTTGGGGTTCCTGTGTTCTGGGGCAGCGCCTGGATCTCTGGGACTTGGAGCTCCCCCCGTCTCCTACACATCTTTGAGGGGCAGATCTGTGGTCTCTCACACTCTCTATTGGACGCTCCTATAGAAAAACCTTAAATAAACAAGCGCGTGTACACACACAGGTGCTCACATGGTGCTCTCAAAAGTATGGGCTTGGGCACATTCAACACAGGTCTTAAGAGTATGGTGGGCACTTAATGCACTGTGATTTATTATCGTGTGACTGTTCAGTTAAGCAATGTTGATTATATATTTCTTCATCAAGTTGACGCAGTGATAGCTTGATCTTGTTGTATTGTTGTTGTGTCCAATTTCGCTTTCGCTTTTTTTCTAGTCTTTTTCTGCAGGTCTAGAAGCAGACTCTTGTTCATTATTGTTTATTTTTGTGGACCCCCCCTCCCCCCTCTCACCCCACCTTTTGTCTTTTCCTTTCTCTTTCACCTCTGTCTCTGTGTCTGGTCAGAATTACAAAGCATTCAAAAACAATAACAATAAAGTTTTAAGTATCAGGCGTGACATTAAAAGCAGAAGCTTTGATGCTCCACCTGAGAGTAAATCTGTAAGGCTTGTTACAAGCATTCAGACATCAATTCTGTTTGCTTCACAGCCAGACAGGACACGTAAAAAAAAAAAAAAAAAAAAGTATGGACATCTGGAACACATATCCAGTTGGCTTAATAAATGTTAAAAAAGACTACCATCATTTTAGGGATTATCAGAGTTCTCTAACTTAATCCTTACTAGTACAGATTGAACCCTTCGTTAGAATTTCCATAGAACATCTTAGCTGTTGATGTTTTTATTTAAACTAATAACAGAAAAAAATTAGCGCTATGATTACTGCTGTATAACATTACAGAGAGGTCCGATTGTTAATTACATGTCAAAATGGCTTGCTACAGCCGTGGTATCATCTTGCCTGTACTGTTTCCCTCATCTCCTCACCCTGGGCACAGCCACTGCTGCAGCTCACCGCTCCTCACGTGGATGGGTCACATGGTGATTTAATTTCATCAGTGTGTGACAACTAATGAGACTTTAACATAAATAATTAATATTCAAAACAAAATTATTTAAAGCTTTTTTTGGTTAAGTCATTTTTTTCATAATTTTTTTAAAATGTGCCTGTAATTTATATATTTTTTATTTAACTTATATTTTTCTTCCCAGGAGGATAAACTGCTTGAGATGTGACATCTTGTTTTAGAGCAGGTCCTCCTACCATACAACAAGTAAAGAATAAGAAGGCAAAGTCGTTGAACCACAACAAACTAAGAGATAAAAAAATAACACTTGCTGTGGCTTACCCCATGTATCTATAGGCATACTTGTAACAATATAAAATGCACATACACAATCATTAACAAATTAAAATTTAACGATAGAAAAACAACATAAATTGAGTGCGGCTACGATATTAAACACAATAGGCAAAACTATTACAAGTTGGCTTCACACATTTATATCTGGAGGTGCTTCTGAAGACCAGATGAAGTCCAGCTGATTGCTCCTTCCAGGCTGTTGCTCCCAGACTTTGGAGCGTCTTATCCGTACGGAGTTCTGACAGCCTGGTGACCTTTAGAGACCCTGTCATTTAAATCTGCTTTAACCTAAATCTACTGTTTTTCTTCTTTTACAACTAGAATTGATATAATCTTTCATTTATTTTATGACATTAATGATCATTTTATAACTTCATGACTATATTTAGTTATTTTTAGGATTATGATTGAGTGGGCTCTGTGATGACTGCTACAGAAGTAACATTAATGCCAACTGAAGGAAAAATAGCTTTCACATATATTTAATAACAAAAATGCACACAGAGTCTTCACCAAGGCAGGCTGCCTAGATGTCTCGTCTGATTGGTTTTTCCCACTGAAATGCCGCTCCAACACCAAACTGGTGTGCCTTCAGAAAACCTCAAACCGTTTAAAAGAAGGATTCACGTCCACTTAAGTGCACGACTCCACACCGGAGCTGACGAAGAAGTCTAAATCAGCCTCTAGTGTCGTTTTGGTGAATGCTGCTCTCTCCCTCACCCGCTCGCCTGCCTCGGGGCTGAGAGACAGCCATTTTTGCCAGCTCTAGCAGCAGCGTGTAAGGAAAACAAAATGGGAATATAACCAAAATATCCAGCTTTGTCACGATGTGCTCATCTCTGAACACACACACACACACACACACACACACACACACACACACACACACACACACACACACGCACACACACACTGCTGCTCTCGTAACAGGAAAAAACCCGGATGTCTATAAAAGTTGACACAACAGATCCCGGACCAGCCAGGAGCGCTAGAAAAAACCCAGCTTTGATGATCTCGTCGTTTCAAATCGATAAAACGATAATCGTTCAGCTCTACATGAAAACACGCCGAGACCAAACAAGTGGACGGGTTCTGAAGGTTCTGAAGTGAGGAGGGGTGGGTGGGGTTCTCAGAATCTATCAGGATCCGGCCCGTCTCCTTAGAAAGGAACAAAAACTAAAAGTTTCCTATAAAAACATAAAAGTTATAATAAAATAAAATAAAAGCAGAACAACAGTTTTTCACTTTCCTGCATCTGTAGCAACTTTTCTGGTTTTCATAGCAACCGCAGATAAAACTATTTCTACTTCATTAAAACAAGAACAATGAGTAAAATTCTGTGAAATCTAAATCAAAGCCTTTGTCTGGTTTCTGATCTGAGAGGATCCTTGTGGGGGTGCTGCTGTTTACTTGTTGTTGTTTACTCACTGTGACTTTTGGGCATCATGTCATCGTTGTTGTCCTGCAATAAGCAGCAGCAGAAAGAAAAACCACAGAAACAAGAAGTTACTGGGTTCCAGTGACAGACGGAGAGAGCAGAGGAGGTGGCTGTCACGGCGTCAGGGCGGCCATGTTGGCTCCAAACAGGAAGAGATAAGAGGAGCTTCCTGTTCAGGTTCCAGATCAGTTGTAGTCTTATCATTTTCTCATTTATCGTATGTGATGATGGCTGCATCACCGCCTGCCCCATCGCCGTGACGACCGCCTAGCATCACGCCGCTACCAGCTGATCTCTCTTCCTGCCACCGACCAATCGGCTGTCCAGTACTTACGGTCGACGTCGCTGGTCTCCTGCTCGCTCGGCTCTTTGCTCTTGTAGAACGGAAACTTTCGGGCAAAGAGGTTCTTTTTACGCTTGTCATTGATGGACTGCTGAGGAGGAGGAGGAGGTGATGGGGTAAACACAAACAGGAGGAGATGAGGGGGTTCTGATGGTGTCGGTTCTGACAGAATCAGGAGTTCTGATACTAAAGATAAACAAAACTGTAATCTAAGAACCAAGCTGGATCAGAACTGGGCCATGCGATTCCGGTTCTGACCCCTTTCTGTAGGTATCATGACTTGAGGCTGGGGTTTCCCAGAGGGACTGTGAAGGCAGAATAGTGAAGAAGAGGAGGAAGCGTGCTGAAGACGTGCAGAAGCTACAAGATGATCCACTATGGGTCAGGTCCTGGTCCTACCGGACCTGATCTGAAGACAGGTCCGTTTCTCTATCAGCTGTCTATAGAACTCTGGGAGTTGACGTCACTTCTCCCGGCATGCAACAGTTCAAATTGAAACGGCGCCATCTTGGCAGGCAGTAGACCGCATCTAGGCTATTTATTATTGTAAGAAAACTCAGGATGCCAGAACAGACGCGGACGAGACAAGGGAAGAGCCATCTACAGGATTCCCCAAGATCCGGAACGCCGCAAACATTGGATCATCCTAATAAAACGCGCTAGTGACCGGGCTGAAATGAAGCTGTGGGATCCCGATAGCAAAAGGTTTTCGCTTATGCAGCGACCACTTCATATCAGGTACTTAAACCAACGTTTCCTCAACTGTGTATGGTATTTATTTTAAATGCTTTTATTACGATTCTTAGTGGGCTTCCTAAACTTATTTTGGCGTGGCTTTTTCTGTCTTATTACTCATAGCAACAAGTAAACATCACGTAAAATGTTGTCTCGTGCTTCTGCGTGCTGCCGTTTACGTGGTTTATGATCACAGCAATTAACCGGCTAAGCTGTATTTAATTTTAAGCAATGGTTGATCAATTGTCAGATCACACATAAAAATCACTTTGGATTGCTATTATCTGTCTCACCGAGACAGATCTCAGACAGATTCTGAGACGCTCCTGCCTGACATATTTATTTTATTCACGGAAAAAAATCAGTCTAGTGATTTCTCTTGGCGTTCAGTTCATACATTTGTAGCGGAAATCCACACTTTATATCCTCGGGTTAACTTTGTTTGGACTCACACGGAGAAGAACAATAACATTTTCACTCAAAAGTTTCTTTCACAATTAGCAGAAAAAAGGGGGAATTTGAAACTGGCCTACAATCGTATAAATTCCGATTTTCGAACATCTGGCTAACTCCTACATTTTGTCCCAGGAACGTAAATTTTACCACTTCTTTTCCCTCCTTAAGCAATCAAGAAGCCGGACATTATCAGGACTTGGTCTGTCTTACCTCAACCTGCCAAGAACTGACTCTCCCCAAGGCCGGGATGCTCGTCAAACTTCTCAAGGGTCATTCCGGAAGATTCCAGGATTTAGTCTTTATGAAAACCCTGGTATTTTTCAGTTTATCCATAATCAAAAGGTGTTTTAGGTTGTTCACCATTAAAATTCAAGGTGTTCCAAGTAAATGTTTAAACTTTTATCATTTACAAACCTAAACCGCTTGTGTTTTTTTCTTTCATGTTAACTTCTGCCATTGTGTTTCACCAGTTCAAAACCATTCTAAAAGTGATACAGTCAAGCTTAAGACCTGAAGTTAGTTCTTTTCTGTTTAAAGTCATACTTTTTGATGCTTTATTTGGAATTACTTTGTTAAAATTGTGAGCATGAATCTCTCATGGTTGGAAGACTGGGTTATTTGAAAGAGCCACAGTGCCATCAAGTGGTTAATGAGTGAAATACATGTGGGTGTGACCAAGAAGTTTATAAAACCAGAGTTCAGACCTCGTTCGCGGTGGTAGGAGAAATAAGAAAAGGATGCCTTAAGCACAAATCCCTGCGGGCTGTTTCCATCTGGCCTAGCAGGACCCGGCGCTTTACAGTTGTCAAGTAATTAGCTCTCAAAAGTTACGGTAAAACTTTGAAGCAGCTCAGTTTGTTTTGTTTTGACTTCCTACGTGAAACCAGAAGTCTGCGTGTTCAGTCGAGTTCTCACATTAAGAGTAAAAGCAATTTGGAACAGTTTGATGATTCGGCTCCGTTTGGGATAATTTGGGCCCGCGATCTGAATTCCACGTTTCGAGGCCGCTGAAGTGAAGGAACCTTGAGTCAAGCCACTACGGGAGAGCACCTCCTTCTACATACCACAGATGCCGTTGACCTAAGCTGAGGTGCCAAAAGGTCCTACGGCCCCTGAAGACCGCATTCAAGCTTCTGGACCCAAATGAACCAGCACACAGGACACCTCTTTGGCGACGGAAAAAGGTATGTGAAGCATCTTAGCTGGCTGACTTATGTGCTAAGCCCAATTAGTGAATTCAGATTTGTCCATTTCTTTAATGGCGTGTTTTTATTTCGATCCCAGATTCACGTTAGCCTTCATGATCCCCTTCCTTCTTCTGCCATAACAAGCCACACACACACACACACACACACACACACACACACACACACACACACACACACACACACACACACACACACACACACACACACACACACACACACACACTTTGTTACCCTTTCAGAAATTATTCCTAAGTTACTATAATCCTATGTGTCACCAAATTTCCACTTTATTACAAATCAGTTATTCCATATCACTGCCATAAAGCTTTGGGTTAACAATTGTCTTAATTCCATGCATGAAACGATAAGCTGTGTTTGGTTCTTTTGTCCATGCCTTAACTGATGTTTGTAATTTTCATCTAAACGATCCAGTTTTGTAACTCACAAAACGTAAATAACGCCTGATCATTGTCTAGTAATTCTCGGGAATAATCGGCGAATTGTGTCAAGAATTCATCCTTTAGATTAATTTGTGGTGTTAACTCTGAGACTGATTACATTGCAAAGATATAGATATTAAATCCAACGGTCCAGTTCCGGAAACTGGTGGTGCCCCGATTAAACAAGCTAAATCTACACCACATTTGAAATATAGATATAAATCTATATTTATTGCTACACATTCAAACAACACAGCACTCTATTTAAACTTCTTACATGTAAATCTATGTATTTGTGTTTTTGTTTAATTAGTTTTATAAATTATAAATGTCAGGACTTCACAATTCCGGTAAGAAGTCCGCTCCGACAGCTTCTGGAGTTTTTAAAGTATCCCAGGGGCACGGTAAGGGTTGGAGATGTTAAGTCTATTTAATTTCTGACTATATATAATGATTTCTTCGGTTTTAAAGTGTGAAGTAAACTCCGATCCAAGCCGATCCCGTTCATTTTGTTTACCTTTGCCTGCCAACATGGCGTCTACTCTGAGAGTCACGTGACGTCCGGAGCTCTATCGATCCCAAACAAACCCTAATTAATCATTCGTTTGTAATAAACTAATCAAAGGAATCAGACGACTTAAGATTTTTTTTTCTTCAGAGTAAAAACAAACATTGATGCCAATTCGTCAGAATTCCAGAAGGATTCCCAGCTGGGAATACCAGAACCAAACAAATATACATTTATGAACTTGCAGATTGGTGTTGGAGCCACTAGAGGGTGGCATGGTGCCCTGCAAACAGCTGATTGTTTTTATAATTACCACATCCGGATAGTTTGCTTTGTTAATCAGATTCAGATCAATAGTTTATAAAACTAGAATCTGTTAACCCAGTTGCTGTTAGCATGGTTACCATGGCAACGAAGGAGAGGAAGCAGCCAGTCAGACATCAATGCCAAGCGTTTCATTGTGTAAGAGGAGGAGGCAGGGGATGGGGGGGGTCATGCGTGTTTTGTGGGGAACGTTTTGGTGACGCGTGATAAAGCTGTCTAAAGGAGGCGGAGCTCCTACTGCTGGTCAACCTGAACATGCTGCTACCGTTGTAAACATTAGTGTCATTAGTAGGAGATCAGAAGGCAGCGGCTTGAACATGTTATAAACACACGGAACCAACACGCTACAGACACACGGGACCAACACGCTACAGACACACGGAACCAACATGCTACAGACACACGGGACCAACACGCTACAGACACACGGGACCAACACGCTACAGACACACGGGACCAACACGCTACAGACACACGGGACCAACACGCTACAGACACACGGGACCAACACGCTACAAACACGGGATCAACACGCTACAGACACACGCGATCAGCACGCTACAGACACACGGGATCAACACGCTACAACACATGGGACCAACACGCTACAGTCACACGGGATCAACACGCTACAGACACAGGGGATCAACACTCTACAGATACACGGGATCCACATGCTACAGACACACGGGATCAACACGCTACAGACACAGGATCTACATGCTACAGACACACGGGATTAACACGCTACAGACACAGGATCTACATGCTACAGACACACGGGATCAACACGCTACACGCACGGGATCAACACGCTACAGACACACGGGACAAACACCCTACACGCACGGGATCAACATGCTACAAACACACGGGACCAACACGATACAGACACACTGGATCAACACGCTACAGACAGACGGGATCAACATGCTACAGACACATGGGATCAACACGCTACAGACACATGGGATCAACACGTTACAGATACACGGGATCAACACGCTACAGACACACGGGATCAACACGCTACGGACACACGGGACCAACACGCTACACACATGGGATCTACACGCTACACACATGGGATCTACATGCAACAGACACACGGGATCAACACCCTACAGACACACGGGACCAACACGCTACAGACACACGGGACCAACACGCTAAACACACGGGATCTACATGCAACAGACACACGGGACAAGCACGCTACACACACGGGATCAACATGCTACAGACACACGGGGCCAACATGCTACAGACACACGGGATCAACACGCTACACACACACACACAGGATCAACACGCTACAGACACACGGGATCAACAAGCTACAGACACACAGGATCAACACGCTACAGTCACACGGGACCAACATGCAACATACACAAGACCAACACGCTACAGTCACACAGGACCAACACGCTACAAACGGGACCAACACGCTACAGACACACGGGATTAAAACACTACAGACACACGGGACCAACATGCTACAGACACACAGGATCAATACGCTACAGACACACGGGACCAACACGCTACACACACACACGGGATCAACATGCTACAGACACACAGGACCAACACACTACACACACGGGATCTATATGCTACAGACGCACAGGACCAACACGCTACACACACGGGATCAACATGCTACAGACACACAGGACCAACATGCTACAGACCCGAGACCAACATGCTACAGACACTAGACCAACATGCTACAGTCACACAGGACCAACACGCTACACATGGCACCAACATGCTACAGACATATGGGATCAAAACGCTACAGACACACGGGACCAACACGCTTCAGACAAACAAGATCAACATGCTACCGACACACAGGATCAACAGGCTACAGACACACACAAGATCAACATGCTACACACACAAGGGATCAACACGCTACACACACACACACAGGATCAACACTCTACAGACACACGGGACCAACACGCTTCAGACAAACAGGATCAACACGCTAGACACACAGGACTAACACGCTACAGACACACACAAGATCAACATGCTACACACACACGGGATCAACATGCTACACACACACGGGATCAACACGCTATACACACACACACACACAGGATCAACACGCTACAGACACACGGGACCAACATGCTACAGACACACGGGACCAACACGCTACAGACACACGAGACCAACCTGCTACAGACACATGGGACCAACCTGCTACACATGAAAGATGCAGCAGAAACTACCTGAAGTGAAACCATCTGGAGTTTTAACTCCAATCCGGTCCAACTCACCCCTCGGTCTCGAGACTTGGCATTAAACTTCACCGTCTTTAACCTTGCTCTCTCCTTCTTCTCCACCCTTCAGAGAAAACCACAGAAGACAAAACAGCTCAACTTCTCTCTTACAAAAACAAGAAGTTTGACCAAAAGGGCATCCTGGACCTGAGGACATCCACCCATGGAAGGATCTTTAGTATTTGTGGTTTTATTTTTGCTCATCAGTAAAACTCTCCAGCAGAAGATGAATAAAATGTTCATACGGATTTTTTCTGATGTCGTTAGAAATCAAACAGATCTGAGATCAGAACTGAAGACAGACCAATATACCTCGGTTGTACAGCAGAATTAAATTCAGACACATCCATGGGCAGCTCAGTGCTGCAGCAGAGTTATAATGAATGCCCTGAAACATAGCTGTAAAGGGAAATTTCCCTTTATTCATCGGTTTTCTATTCAACACTCGGTCTGTTCAATAATTTGGTTGGTTAACTTTGTTTAAAGGTGTGGAAAACTGAAAATCAAGTTTTAATGACTATCTCTGATTCTAACCTATCTCCTGTATCAACTTCTGAAAGAAAACAGACGGTGAAACTCCAAGATTAGAAAAGCCATCGGCTGACCGCTACATAACAGCAAACCCCAAATCTGTCCCTCTGTAATCAGAGAGATGTTTGTGGGACTGACCTTCTCTTGCTTGGGATGACTCCCACCTCCTCCTGCTCCCCCTGAGGAGTCAGGTGCCGGGCCTGCCACCATTCGTCATCCGAGGCGTTAACCACATGGAGGATGTCCCCGAACTGGAAGTTCAGGCCCTGACTGGGAAGTCCTGAGTCCCTCGTTTTATCGTAGTCAAACAGAGCTCTGCAGCACGCAAACACACACACACACACGCACACGCACACACACACACACATCAAAACTTCAGTCCAGATTAAAAAAAATTATTGTTCATTTTCTACCTGAACCTAAACCTGCTTTCTGCCCTCCAGGTGACCTTTGACCCTACCTGACGTAAAGTGACCTCTTCTGACTGGTCCGTAAAGATCCAGATCCAGAGCTGATGCTACTGTTCATCATCTGCTCCCTCAGGTCGTGGATCTTGGCCTCAAAGCGGCTGTACTCTGAGACGAGACCAAGCCTGTAAGCGATTAGCAACACAGCACAGGTCACATGACCACCACAGTCAGCTCACCTTCTGGCCTGTAGTGGGCAACGATGGCCACAGTCTGCCCGGCATTCTTCAGGGCGGCGGCGGCCTGCTCATGAGTGGCGTTTCGGAGGTCCACCCCGTTCACCTGGAAACAGGAAGTTCTGTTTTAATTAGACCCAAACAAATAAAGTATTTGTTCTGAAAACAGAAAAAATGCTGGAAGTGCTGCAGGGGTGTAAGAAATGTTATCTGGTGCTCTATTTTGCCAACAAAGTATTTGTTCTGTTGGAACTTCCTGTTGGTCTCCAGGTCTCAGGTGTGTGTACTCACAGAGACCAGGCGATCTCCTTTCCTCAGCTCCCCGCTGAGGTCAGCTGGACCTCCGGCAAGGATGAAGGAGATGAAGATGCCCTCCCCATCCTCCCCACCCACAATGTTGAAGCCCAGACCTGTTGCTCCTCTGTGCAGAACCACCTTCCTGGGCTCCCTGTTGGAGGACACAGCTGTCAATCACCCTGAAGTCATGTGACCTGACTCAGAGGAAGAACCACAGGGATGATGTGTCAGGTTTCTGCCACTAGCGGGTGCAGCAGCAGTTCCTCATCCAACCATCCCACCAGCAGAATTCATTCCTTCATAGAAAACATTCATGTTCTCACCGTGTGACGTCGTCTTCTCCCAGCATGCTCTTCGGCGTGGGTGAGTAGAGCCCTGGCGATGCTGGCGGGGGGAGGGTCTGAGCCAGGAAGTTGGGGGGGCTGATATGGTTCTCCGTGTGCTGCGAGTACGCTGGAATGCAGACAGTGAACCGAGTCAGGAACACTCGACTAGACCCGTTTTCTCTACAGGACCTCCTCCTCCTCGCTCCACCTGATCCTCCAACTTCTTCATACCTGTCAGGCTCCTGTTACCATGTAACAGGGCCCGACAGTGTGTGTGTGTGTAACTGAGACGATGAAACACACAAGTGTGTTTAGGAGCTGAGCTCCCTCAGAAGGAGCAGGAAAAAGGAGGGAAGCAGCAGTGGGAATATTGACCTCTTGTGTATGATGTCATGCCGCTCATGGGACCGCCCCCTTCGCCAAGATGGATGGCAAAGAACCTGTTTACACTCGCTGCACTGCACCAACACCCCAGGATGTGAACTACACTCGTCCTTTTATTCCCTCTTTCAAAATAAAATAAAAAAAAAGTCCAGAAGATGTCTGACGACAGAAAGAACAGATAGAAGATCGTCTCATGAAAAAAGTCAGACAATAACAATGTTCATGCACCCGTGACTAAAGGAGAACAAAGACATACAGCTAATTTGTGATTTGTCTACGGAGATGGAGGGAAACGTGGGTTTGGAGGAGAAGGAGGAGGATCAAGGACAAAAAATACATAAACACAGCAGTAGAAACACTATCTGAGACCAGAGACCCCATAACAGCACTACGCCCTCTGTTGTCCTGGAGGGGAACTGCTACACTAAACTCCTCAGGGAACAAAGTCCAATCTGGGCTTCAGCAGCAGGAGCAGACCTACAACAACGGGGGAGGAGCAGACCTACAGCAGCAGGAGCAGACCTACAGCAGCAGGAGGAGGAGGAGCAGACCTACAGCAGCAGTGGGAGGAGGAGCAGTCCTACAGCAGCAGGTGCAGTCCTACAGCAGCAGGAGCAGACCTACAGCAGCAGGAGGAGGAGGAGGAGCAGACCTACAGCAGCAGGGGGAGGAGGAGCAGTCCTACAGCAGTAGGTGCAATCCTACAGCAGCAGAAGCAGACCTACAGCAGCAGGTGGTCTGCTGTGAGGAGGAACTCACAGCTAGTGATGTCTGGCGGTGCGAGGCTCTCGTTCATGAAGACTCCGGAGGGTTTGGACACCTTCAGATAAACTACATCAGGTGTGTTCTTCAGAGCAGTGACGGCGTGTTCGTGGGTCACCTCCTCCAGACAAACACTGTTTACCTGGACACAAAAAACATGACTGCTGAGTGGGACCCACAGGTCAAAGGTCAACTGAGGACACAAAGACTCACAGCCAGCAGCTTGTCTCCGATCTGCAGCTTCCCGTCTTTCTGAGCCGCTCCGCCTTCGATGATCTTGGTGACGTAGATGCTGTTGTCCCCCGGGATGTGCTGGTTTCCCACTCCGCCCGCTATACTGAACCCCAGACCTGGAACAGCAGGAGACCTCGGTCAGGAGGACTGGACTGGTTTCTGACCCGATTCAGAGTAAAGCATCGTTAAGTGAATCAGTGTGTGTGTGTGTGTGGTCAGAACATCCTGGGGTTAGAACCCTGGTTCTAAATGTGAGTATACGGCCCTGTACTGAAGGGTCCGAGTCTAAGAGCCCTGACCCGGTTCTGGTTACCTTTAGGCCCCTTCACCAGCTTGAGCTCCATGACTTTCTCGGAGACGGGTTTCCTCCTGCGGATGTAGAGCCGGACAAGAGATCCAGCCTCCTTCAGCGCCTCCACGGCCCGACTGTGGGTCACATCCCGGACGTCCACCTCGTTCACTCTCAGGATGACATCATTGACTCTGAAGGAAACAGAACCGGACCCATTCAAGTTTCACACTAGAAGTGACAGGAACTGGTTCTGACCGGCACCAGAACCGCCCCTGTTCTGGGTTAGGGCGTTTCTCCCGGGGAGAGCACTCGAACACGAGGAGCTTCACATGGACCAAAAACAAAACCAAATCCTAATGATCTTCAAACAGACCAATGAAAAAATAAATCATAAATCATCATAAAACTAATGATTTAGGTAACAGCAGCTGCTTTCAGAGGGTCTTACACGTCTCTCACTGACAAATTCAAGCACTTTTCAAGCACCATCCAGCGAAGACCAAACACTACATACGGACTCCCCCTCACATTTATTAGTTATTAATAGGGGCGGTCCTATCTGACCTGGCCTGATCGAGGTTGGATATAAGCTTATAATGCAACTAGCATGACCTTTGCCCAGCAGCAACACTGATCGATAGGCTACAACACAAGAAGAAAATCCTACTGTTATGGAAATTTTATGTTTATTGACCCAATCAACTGAATGTAGTATGTATTGCTCTATGCCTCCTTGCATGCCCACTTATTCAGACACACCCACACAAGACACACACACAATCTCTCTCTCTCTCTCTCTCTCTCTCTCTGTAATCTGTAGTGTAATTCCCAAATGGATCAGGGAATTTTTCCCGTATGCGTAGAACACAGCAGCTTGGAATTGGTCTCCGACTTCCTCTTCCCAGACGCCCATCTTGCCAGACTGTAAACTGACGATACGCAGCAAAACGAAACTCTCGGTTGTCTGTGCCCACATCTTGGTTGTCCTCTAAGGCGAAGATGTCGTTCCAGGTCATCCTCACTAGACACAGTGTGCCCTCATCGAAGCAGTATAGCTCCAGGTGAGCACTTCTGATTAGACAGAGCTCTGGAACCTGCCTACAGCACAGATTTTCAATCTGTGTAGGCATGCGTTGGCAGTTCTGGCAAGTGCACCACGCAGGCTGCCCTCGATCAGGAAGATGGTGTCCTGACGTCTCTTGCCGAAACTCCAGGATATCCAGCATCACCCGTGGAAGACGGATCACCACTCTCTCGAGAATATTATCTCTCTCCTCCTGGCTCAGGTGTTGTAAAGCTGTCTAGAACATATGTTTACATGACCAGATTCATATCTCCAGTGAGTGATATGTTTTAGTTTTTGGCCTCTCTCTCCCTCTCTCTCTCCTTGGCACGGTGTGGTGGTGAGGGCTGTGAGAGTGGTGGATTGTTTGTTTTCTGGAGGTGGAAAAGTTCTTCAGATAACTTTTTTCAACTTTTCTTGCTTTCCTTGGTGTTTGGAGGTTGTGTGTGGTTTTGTTGCGGTGCTTCCGTGCCGGGATGGCGTCTCAGGCAACGCCATCCCTGTCTTTGAGACACGGGGCAAGAGCAGAGCCTCCGTCCTCCACTCCGGTGGAACAGGTACTGTCAGCAGTTGGAGACCAGGTGGGACATGGAAATATTTTGTTTGCCTCGCGCATAAACAAAGGGCTCGTGGTGTTTCTCGAAAGTCAGGAGCAGGTGGGTCAGCTTGTGCAGAACGGGATTCATGTAAATGGTGAGTTTTTACAGTTTTCTCCATTAGCGCTACCGTCTACCCGCATCACCGTGTCAGGAGTTCCTCCCTTTGTTCCCGACTCTGCTCTGGAGCGGGAGCTCAGGCGTTTTGGGAGAATGGCGAGTGGATTCCGTACGGCGAGCCTGGGGTGTAAAAACGATGAGGTAGAGGGCCACCTGTATCATGAAGGACCACACTCACCCAGCACTCTGGGTCTGTGCCCCGCTCCCCTCAGAAAGGAGGCTGAGGAGCGTTAAACACAAAACCATCAGAATGAGAAACAGCTTCTTTCCAGAAGCTTTGAGACTTCTTAATAACGGGACAAGAAGTGTTACTGGGGGCGGGGCTAACACTGTAACCATCACTGACCGTTACAGACAGCAGAAGATACTTATCTACTGACACCATCTATGCATCAGTACTGCTCACCACGTCTTTTCGCTGCGGAAGTATTTAGATCTTTAGATCCATACTGGTACTCAGGATGCTGCTTTCGGTTTATTCCACGTTGTCTTGTTTGTGTTCCCCTCTTCGTTCCGGGACCGTGAGAACATGTGAATGACAAAGAATCATTGACAGCTAGCTCCCCTTCACTAACCAGCTAACTAACCCTAACACTAACATGCGACTCCTATTATCTCCTTGTGTCTCTGAGGAGAAGAAACAAGCAAACAAGTAGAAAACATCTGACTCAAAGGTAGACTAAAGTTGAATTTAACATAAATCCAGGCCACCCTGGTTCATGATGCAGAATAAAGTTCAGCAGGAACTTCTACAGGCTGACAGCTAAACTACATTATCGTCTGTCCTCAGAGTCGCCCCGCCCTGCCCGTAGCAGAGCCAAACCAGACCCAAAGACTACCATCAACATAACCCGACGGACTTTCAGCCCAAAACCGGCTCGCCAGAGACAACGTTTAGTGTTTCTTTACCACCATGGACGAATGCTAACGCTTTGGAGGTGCGTCCTCATCTCCTCTCTCTCTGCAGTGCCACGGTAAAACCCACGGGAAGGAAACGCTGGCTTTATAAAGTAGAATCAGGTCCAGAACCCGAGACCTGAACTGCTCTACCTCATGTGGGCCAGGTCAGAACTGCTTTCACTGCTGCTGCATAATGAATGCAGATGTGAAAGGTGCTGCTGCCTGCTATCCGTATCCAGTTCTATCAGAACCAGAACAACGAAGTAAGGTAGGCTCTGGTTACAATGATATTATTTATGAGTTACGGGTCAACACAAACGTTGTGTCAAAGCAGCACCTTTCTATGGAAATGTAGATGTTACTCATCATCTGAACGCTAGCGTTCTTGTGGGTCCAGTCATAAACGGCCACCAAGAACTCCACCTGAGCTGTAGACACAGTACACACCTTGGAAATTCAAAACGTCTGCCTCCCCGTTCAAAGCCTTGCATCACTGACGGAGTAGACCCATCTCCAACAGGAACGGTCCCTCCACATCCAGAAGCTCAATAAAATTTCTCCAGTAGAACAGTTGGTCCACACAATAAACCTCCAGGTGTGTCTCTAAAAACCTTTGTCCAGTAGGTGAAGGGTTACCCGTGTGTGTGTGTGTGTGTGTGAGAGAGCCTGACCTGAGCCGGCCGTCCTGGGCAGCTGCCCCCCCAGGTATGACCTTGGTAATGAAGATGCTGGGGTCTTCGCCGATGTGGGGGTTGTCTGTGCCGCCAGCGATGCTGAAGCCCAGCCCCGAGTTCCCCTGGTTACCATGACAACCACACATCAGAGAGAAACACAGAGGAACTGAAATGACTAAACTTTCATTTATTTTTAACGGTTGGTCTTTTCTAGGTCCTGATCTGGATTCCTCTGGAAGTAGGTTTGGATTAAGAGCATCAGACTAAAATTAATCTGGATTAATCCCCCAATCCCCAGTGAGTCATGGTGGATGGCTGCTTATACTGAGCCAGGATCCTCTGGAGGTTTCTTCCTGTTAAAAGGGAGTTTTCCTCTCCACTGTCGCTGCATGCTTGCTTAGTATGAGGATTGCTGTAAAGACTCTGACACTAGACAGTGACTCGATGCAACCTGCTGGGTTCCTTATATAGAAACTTTTTACTGATTGGCTTAGTGACCTGAGCTCTACTGGAATGCTGACTTTGAGACGACTCTGGTTTGGTGATATACATTAAGTGGGCTGAAGTAAGCTCAGCTGCAGGTCACCAACAGAAACTGGTTTCACTCTGTGAAGGTAAACTAAGTTAAACTGGTTCCCCTCTGACAGGAGAGCGAGACCTGGACCAGACCCGTGTGACCCATCACCTGTGGTCTCAGCTGGGTCACACGGGTCCGGGCAACACGGACGAGAAGATCTAAGGCTTGGAGGACTCTGGTCCTGATGATGAAGGGAGATGTTTGCCATCCTCTAGATCAGTGTCTCCCTTCAGGACCCCCAACTCCACCTCCTCAGTAGGGTTGGGCATCGTCTGAATTTGAATGATTCCGATTCTTCGTTTTGATTCCAGTCCCTATCGATTCAGATTCTTTCAAGACATGACATGCGTTACATGAGCCAGCTAACCACAGGTCCTACTTGATGAAATAATCTTAACTTCAACATGAATTGTAATTCTATGAAAAATAACATCACCTTCATTTAGACAAAAACATGTTTTGGAGAAAAAAAGAAAAAGACTTGCAGCACAACCAGTGTGTTTGTTTCTGACCACAACCAAAGTCTGGAAGAAGCCTCTGGGATGAGAGGCTAAATGTCTCCAACATATCCAGAAACTTCCAGCTGTTTTCAGCTAAAACTCTCAGGATGATCATGTCCAGGATGACAGAGTCTACACCTACCTGCTGCAGCAGCTTCAGTCAGAAGGGAACCTGAAACTTAAATGAAGCTGGAACAGGAACAACCTAGCAGATCAGATCGGGGGGGGGTGGGGGTGGGGGGGGGGGGGGGGGGGGGGGTGGGGGGGGGGGGCTTGCTGCTGCACACGGCTCTCTGCAGGTAGCAGACCAGCAGCGACAGACAGCAGGTGTGACCAGCTCTGAAATGTGTTTATCAGAATGTGCGGATCATGTTTATTTTTCACGGAGACCGGCCGCAGATTCCTCTTCCGGGCAGCACACTAGAAGTCGGAACTAGGAATCGAAACTAGGAATCGGAATAAAAAAACTTGACACAAACTGACAGTTGGTCTCGGTACCAATCTATGCCCAACCCTACTCCTCACCTCCTCCCAGATTAAAGCCATTCATCACACTTAGCTAAACTGGGATTCGGCATGTCCATGACTGTAAAATCAATAAAAAATAAACAAAAATAAAAATAAACTTTATAAAGAAACAAAATGATCAATATAAAAACACACAGTGAGTTTGTAGTTAGCAGGCGATGCTACCGCTAGCAGTTCCAGCTCTAAGTGGTCCTCACAGGAGTTCCTGCACTCCAACAGGAACAATGATCCACAGATTCATAAAAATCTCTGGGTCAATGGTCTGCCCTAAACTTAGCTTTTTTTTAATTTTAGAGACAGTGGTGTTCCAGTGAGCTTTCCCACCATGGCTGCATCATTTATCAGAACTCTGCTGAAGACACTGAGATGCAGGTTTTGGTCTAAATCACCCAGCACCAGCAGCCGTGGGTTTAGGTTACAGATACAGTCATCTCTGGCCTCCTTACCCGCTCCAGCGTGATCTCCTCGTACTCATAATCAGCCTCAGTCCCGTTCACCTGCAACACAGACACAGACGGGTCACAGCTGGACTCCTTCAGAAGATGGTGTCCAACTGGAGACCTGAGGGGACAATCGACTCACGTATGGGGGCGTGTCCAGGCTGTCTGCGTTGACCACCACAGGAGGGGGGTTGGCCTAAGGACACAACAAACATCAGGCATCACAGAGGAAACACCAACCTACATCCTGACAGAAACCCATCAACATCCACCCAGGAAGCCCGGGCTCCACCCTGCTAGTCTGACACCTCCTCCAGCGGCCGTACGTACATCATCGCTCTTCACGCTGCAGAAGATGCAGTTCTGAAGCATGAAGCCTGAGATTAAACGGCTCAGACACTGCAGGACAGGACGAGACCGTGGGCTCCTTCACCTCCTCCTCCAGCTCAGCGCAGGTCTGCTCGCTTGCTTTCTGAGCAGGGGGAGCCAGATGGGCTCGGATGGGGGAAGTGTGACATTTCTGCCTCAGTTTTATCTCTAATCTGCTCATCAGAGCCACAGCTGGACAGCAGGAAGTCAACAGAGAGACAAGCAGCCAAACCAGGCAGAGATAAACCTCTGGGTGGAGGGAGGGGTGGGTGGAGGGGTGGATGATGGAAGGATGGAGGATGGAGGGAGAGAGAGAGAGAGAGAGAGAGAGAGAGAGAGAGAGAGAGAGAGAGAGAGAGAGAGCAGTAAAATAAAATAAACGAGACCTGTGATGCTGGAGGTATGGCGGTGGTCTCGGCTGGGATTGGAGAGATGGGGATCACAGGGATTATGGGAGAGGAGGGCGGGGCCACCTCAGCCTGCTGAACAATAGCATGTTGAGGGTCAAAGGTCAGACAAACAGAGAGCAGGTCAGATGAGCAGCAGGAGGATGATGGACGAGTGTGTGAAGGTGTTCCAGGCAGGAAGGAGTGGTCTGGTTTTGGGTGGGTGGAGCCTAACCAGACAAGGCAGTGGAGTGTCAGAATTATCAACCAATCACAGGAGGAGGACGAGTGATTGACAGATTTTCTGACACGTCAGCCTCCAGATGGTCCTGATGTGCAGCTCTGTGGATTAACACCACCCCAAGTGTGTGTGTGTGTGTGTGTGTGTGTGTGTGTGTGTGTGTGATCTGCTGCAGGACCAGGGCCAGCTCTACACAAAACCCCAACAAAACTGTTCCTGGATCAGAAGTATCCCAATAAAGGATGAAGATCTGAGAAGTCACATCTCCACCCAACAGAACTGAGGGTTCTGCTGCTAGACGAACAACCAGCAGGTCTGATGAAGATGAGCGAGGACGCTTTCATCACATCTTCTGTTATGCAACACCAGACCTCCATGAGGTTCTGCAGCATCGGAGCCGCTGGAGCAGAACCTCATGGAAAACAAACACATGCTAAAATTAGCCGGGAAAATTGAACGCATTGATCCGACAGGCCCAGTTCTGAGGCGCTGCTCGGAAAGCTGCTGGCAGAGAGGCCCAATTAGAGGCGCTCCGGTAGCAGCGACCCAGAAGAACTCTGGTTTTGATGAAGATAATTATAATAAAAATAAACAATAAATAAAATACAATCTGAGCTGCTGAACACACACACACACACACACACACACACACACACACACACACACACACACACACACACACACACACACACACACACACACACACACACACACACACACACACACACACACACACACACACACACACACACACACACACACACACACACCATGAATTATCTTCAGGGGTCAGAGGTTGCAAAACAAACTGCGGTTCTACAGAGCCCAACACAGATCCATTCATGGTCCCAACTTTAGAGAGCCAGGGTCCTACAGAACAAGACAGAACCTCCCTCCGACAGATGGTCCCGGAGAGGTTATCGGGTCGACACCGTGGTGGTACCTGACTGAAGGCAAATGGAACCCAGAGGATCTGTTTCCTGCTGCTCTTGGTCGGGCTCTTCTTCACACTGTCGCGCAGGTTTAGGAAGCGGCTGCGGGTCCTGAAGGAGGCTGGCATGGAGCAGGAGCTGTAGGAGGTGGGAGGAGTTTGGAGCGGCGGGCGGGTCGACAGCAGCTGCTGTCTGTGCAACTCGATGGCGTGCTGCCGCTGTAGCGGGTGGAGGTGGGAGATGGACTCCTGCAAGTGGACGTCCAGTGTCTTCTGGGTCAAGGACCTGGAGAAGTCCTGCTGGAGGTAATGAGTGGTCATCTTCATCAGAGGGGAGGAGAGGAGTGAACACTTCAGATCCAAACGGTCCTGTCGACCTCTCTGGAACCACAGGAACAAACTGCTCCTCTCCTGTGTTTGCAGACATCTACTCAGCTCCAGAGAGGAGTGTGTCAACACTGGGGGGGGGGGGGGGGTTCCTATTGGTTGCATGAATAATCAATATGCCCCCCCCCCCACCGGCTGTGAGGCGGTGCTCCGGACCTCTGCACTGACTCAACACAAACATCTTTATTACTGATGATCCGTTCAGGAGAAGAAAAGAGGAAACAGTTTAAGCAGCAGAACCAGAACTAACACCTCAGAGAGGACACCGGAGCTTCAGGTTACACTGAAGCGTCCTGCAGCACCACCTGCAGGCTAGGCCGAGTATCTGCTCCTCTCCGGGTCACTGTGTCTGTTACTGACAGGTGAAACCAGTCACCAGCTCTCCTGGTCCCATCAAACCCACTTCAGTCTAGGTTCTGGATTTAACCGACTCCACATCAAGTCTTCAAAAGGTTCTAAGTCCATTAAGGGTTCTCTGCTGCCTCTAGGAACACTAAGAAACCCATTCATCTGTTTTCTCCACGTTTGGTTTCAGGAATAACAGATAAAGAAGAAATACGAAACATTGAAAAAAAAACTGTGGAAACAAACGATCAACCGATTATCAGGACCTGGACATGATAACTGTTAAAACCATCATAGAATTTGTTATTGAACCATTCACTTACATTTGTAATCTACCACTTTCTACTGGAAATTTTCCTGACACAATGAAAACAATGAAAGTCATTCCTTTGTACAAGAGTGGTGATAAACATAGTTTCAATAATTACAGGCCGGTGTCACTGCTTCCACAGTTTTCTAAAATATTGGAAAAAGTATTTGTATCAAGGTTGGATTAATTCATCAAAATAAATAATATTTTAAACAATGAACAATATGGGTTTAGAATTAAACATTCCACAGCAATGGCAATAATGGAATTAATGGATAAAATATCAACAGCAATTGACAATAAAAATGACTTTGTTAGTGTTTTCATTGATTTGAAACAAGCTTTTGACGTCACTGATCACTCAAGGTTACTTCGAAAATTAAGTCAATATGGAATAAGAGGTGTGGCTCATCAATGGGTTAAAACTTATTTAGAAAAAAGGAAACAGTTTGTTCAGATAAAGGACCATAAATCAAAACTATGTGAAATTAATTGTGGAGTGCCACAAGGGTCGGTCCTCGGACCAAAACTGTTCATTTTGTTTATTAACGACTTGGTAAATGTATCTAAGACACTCGGTACCATTCTATTTGCAGATGATACAACACTGTTTTACTCAGGATAAACTATTGAGGAGGTGGCTAAAGTGATAAATGATGAACTGTTTAAAATTAAAAACTGGTTTGATAAAAATAGATTGACACTGAATCTTAAAACAAATTTTATACTGTTTAATGATAAAAAAAACAGTGATGTGTCATTGGAAATAGATGGGATTGCAATTCAAAGAGTAAAAGAAACTAAATTTCTTGGAGTTCTTATTGATGAAGACTTGACATGGAAATCCCATATTAGTTACATAAAAGGTAAAATTGCCAAATCCTTAAGAGTGCTACATAGAGTCAAGTTTTCACTGACTAAATCTGGTTTGCTGGCATTGTACAATTCACTGATTGTTCCATACTTGACTTATTGTGTAGAAATCTGGGGAGCAACATACAAAAACTATACACAACCCTTATTTATTTTACAGAAAAGAGCTCTGAGAATCATCAATTATAGTGGCTGTCGAGATCCATCGAACCCATTGTTTATCAAATATAAATTACTGAAATTTCATGATTTAAAAGACTGGAAAATCATATAAACCATGTATAAAGCCTATTTCGGTATTCTGCCAACAAACATTCAGGGGATATTTGAAAAGAGAACTAGTAATTACATGCTGAAAGAAACTGATGTGTTTACAAAACCCAGATTTAGAACTAAAACGAAGGAATGGAATATATCTGTAAATGGTGTTAAATTATGGAATAACCTTAAAAGGGAAATAAAAAATTAAATTGAGTGTGCTAAATAATTATGAAAATGTAAATTAAATCAATGATCAAGATCGCACTGGAATTTAGAACAGGAAAAAGTTTAAAATGAATCTGTATGTGTGTCTGAGAAATGGTAATATTATATAAATTGATAATTTCTACTGGAAAAGGGGGCAGAAATTATAAGATGTTTTTCTTCATTCTGCTCCTTTTCATTTAGATTTGACTTTTTGTTATTTATTTCTTGTTGTTTATATGTTTGATTTGTTTTTATTTTGAATGAAATAAACGAAGAAAAAAATAATTTGCTTAAAACAAGTCATTAAAAAAGTCCCTGATTGTGACATCACAATGAGGGACATAGCATAGACCCTAGGCTTGGGCGGTATCCAAATTTTACTGCCGTCTAGCTTCCTGCCCATTTTACCACGGCGTACGGTATTACCAGGTCTAATTTAGGAATGACGTTGTAAGTCAAGTGGAATAACCAAATGGAAGGTTTGGACCTTCACTCTTCAGAAACTGAATAATAAACACGGTTACCTCCGACTGCTGAAAACCTGCTTCGATGAGCTTGTGGCAGCGACACACGGTTGCTTTGGTTAGTCGTGAGATCTGGGGAAGGCACATCGTCTCTGACAGAAGTCTGAGCTACGGCAGCTCCTCTGCGGTTTCGATGGGGCGTGCGTCTTTCGTTGCTCTCCTGTTATGTTTGCTCCGACCCGAAATACACCCAAACGGCAGAAGTTGTGTTCTTTATTATGCAACGTCTCTAAAAATTCTCTAAAATTTGGACAAAACATTTTAAACTATTTAAGGTAAAAATGAAAATTTAACCATGCATCCGTTTTACACATTAATGACCCTAAATCTTTTAAGTCCTCGTCTCCTACATGCACTCTTTTCATGATGATACCAGACCATCACTGGTGCTAGTTTTAACACCGGCGGTATGTGGGAGTACAGTAACACCACTTTTCCAGGCAGAAGGAGCAGCTGCTCTACTCCCTAACATCCAAACCAAGCAGCTTGATTTTAAAGGGACAGAACCGAGAAACGCTTTGACTAGAAGGTTTTCTCTGAGAGGTTCCTACGGTCTGGGTCAGGACCCTCCAGTAATGTCTCACTGTTAGCATCCTGCTAACATCACAGCTACTGCTACAGCCGCCCCTCCTGTAGCAGCTAATGATAAAACAGCTAGCATGTTGTCTGGTAAGAAAACGGTCTCGGGGCTTTTTAAAGAAACTTGTTTGTTTCTCGTGTCCGTCTCCACAGAACCAGGTCAAACTCTGGGTCTGGATGAAAACTACATCCTGATGAAGTCCAGTTCTGTTTCAGAGCTGCTTAGCACCACTTCTTCCAGTTTGGACCTTTACAACTCTGACTGGATCAGAACCAGGACTGAACTTAACCAGGTGCTGAGATTCTAAAACCCAGACAGAACAGGCACATCACAGAGCTAACACAGCTAACATAGCCTCCAAAACGTCCATGTAGAGTCAGAACCAGAACCAACTGGTACCAGCAGATAGGACCAGAACCAGGCAAACAGCTCCTATA